ATTCGCGTGACAGTTTACCATCATTTGAGAATAATGTTACTTGCCTTTAGCGGTGATTAACACCATTAAAACACAATCAAATGTAATGTTGTTGTATTCATGTAGTTGTCGTTGTTGTATAATTTTCGACTTGTTCTTCATATCGTACAAAAGCTGAAACCAATAATTGATTCATTATTCATATGCCTTGTTCGATCTATGTAAAGGTTCTCGTCTACAAAACATTACACAAAATACTAGATTGATTCACTTTTTACAGTGCTCAGACGCATACGCAATCAAGGCCCTGATTGAGCATCTCAGCGATCCGCTCACAAATTTCATAGCCCTATTTGGCCCTGGATGTGCCCTTGCCACCGAACCAGTTGCAAGTGTGGTACGTTTCTGGAACCTCATACAGGTAAATTCTCTAAATGAATTCCTTAACACCAACACCTTTTACGAGGTAGAGCTCACGCAGAACTAAAAAAAAATTAAGTAGTAGCCACGATAACCCGTCGTAGCGTCTTCTTATCTTGCTTTTAATACATGATCCTTGTGCATGTACACTTGGGGCAAACTATGTCATTGATCGTAGTGTTTCGTTTATCAGAGATCATAGGAGGATATGGCTTAGAATAGTGTACGAACACTACTTTCAAAATAGTTCTCTCGTTCGGGATCGTCGTCACGTTCATTTCATAAGTCGGTACAGGCTACTGAATAAGGTCCCGTTTATATGGAGCAAAGTTGTCCCTTTGAAGAGTATCACCCTCCCCTGCAGCTTAGTTCGATCTTCAGCGAGCATATGTGAGAAAAACTTAACTTTTACCTATTAAATGGGCCAAAAAGGCTCGCGCTGTCGCGCATATTCTGTTTGTCTTGCCTTGACTGTGTGGACTCGGTTGGGCGAGCCAAAGTGTTCATCGCGCTTTGTAATAAAAAAAGCTGTCGCACTTTGTAATAAACTTGAAATAGATGGTCGGAGGACAAGTGAACCCAGTAATAAGTGTCATCATCGACGATAACAACAACAATAATAGTAATAATAATAATAATAGTAAGTGTTCACATCAACTTCTGGCTTCAAGATCTTTCTAGGGAAGTACAACTCTTTATATGCGGACAACCTCGATAGAGAGAAAGTGTCTACGCCTATGACAGGGAGAGTCGTTTAAAATGGGAGTTTGTATTGGAATTTCATTTAAAGTAATTAAAGGTGTCCTTCAGGGGAAACGTGATCGTATAAGCAAAATATTTTTAAAGTTCTACTACCCGCACAGGCAACTAGAAAACCTACGATTTCGTTACCTGCGAGGTATTACTTGAGACATATACAGAGATATTACTTGATTTGTATTTATTACCATGAATAAGCTATACCGTATTTCATAAAACCAAACGAAAATCACAAACTCAGAGCACAACCCGGTGCCACAATCATTGTCATTATCATCATTATTGTCACTATTATTTTCGTACTAAAAAGTTCTTTAAAACATTGCGTATCACGTCATTGTGCCACGATGACCACTACTAATGAATGTTGTGGAAATTTCGAATACGCTGGAACCTACATGAAACGGCATCATTCATAATAATCAGAAAATGCGACATCACAAAGTATGGCCCAGCTAACATAACAAAATTTAAAGAAAATGCGAACACGAAAAGCAAATATTATTACAGTACAATGATACTAACAAAACATAAAAAAAAGGACGAAACAAGCCTGTTGAAAACTCAAACAGTACTCGGTCTCGGTGAATGAAGGGTTTCGATGAAAACAATCATCTTACTATCTTAAATAAACAACCATAGCGTGTTGCCCGAATCAACCAGTGTAGGACTTATATATTGGTCACAGTTCTTTTCCTATTTAAAGTAGTTTTGCTAATTTGCAGAGAAGAAACAAATATTTGCGTGATATTATGCTAAATTTGTTCTCAAAGACGGTTATAATTCAAATTTAGAACAAAACTTCCTAAAAAAATTTAGTTAAACCCCATTCTGAACCTCTCTTATCACACATGATTGAATTTTAAACTCACTGCTACAGTAAACTCGGCATAACTCTTAAGTTTGTATTTTAAACAATGTGACTGGCTAACAGATTTTGTTTAATATGAAAAAACTAAAAAACTAATATATATATATATATATATATATATATATATATTGAGGTACACACTTCAGTATCTCAGTAACTATTTTCTGTAATTTAGGGCTTTTCTGTGAGATAGTGACTTGCCTCAAGTCCGAAGCATGCCGATGCGTAAAACCACCATTGGCTTAATGTTGATTGGTCTGTGGTTTCTGAGCTTCATCCAATCAGCTACCCTGGATCTGAACGTGGGTGCATATTTTGAGATCAACACTACAAATAAGGGATGGAACAGTGCTGGGGTATGGCCAGCGGTTCAACTAGCAGTGGATCATGTCAATAAACGAGATGACGTGTTACCTGGATATAACTTGAAGCTAAATGTTAAAGACTCCAGGGTATGTAGAAAAATAAATTAATAGTCTAGATCTGGAGAAAATTTGAAAGAAAAAAATGGAAAATTGAAAATTTGTTATGGCCTAATTTTGTTCCCCATTGTCTAATTACCACCAGTCAGAGGGACCAAAAATTTTCCCAATCTTAATCAAGCCCCTATCCTAACAATTACTAACTATTGGAGGAGGATAAGAATATACCCTTGTTCTTTAACCATCTTAGCCTGAAATACCACCGTAGTTTGCTTGCTATTTCTTCTCAGGCTGAGCACTAAATGAAGGATTATGCAAATCGAGGAGGACAGATAATGACCTGTAAGATCTGAATTTGATACAATGCAGTTGACAGAAAAGGCTAGTTTTAGAAAGGCCTTAGTAAAATTTCGCGTGAGCAATCATTAACTTAGGGAGTAGCCTGCAATTCAGGCGTTTTCTTCGGGCGCACGAATATTTTTGCTCGCCAAAGCGCCATGTTGAAACTCCCGAAGAGAGGAGGAAATGGGGCGAGTTAAAGGGTGCGCCCCTGCACCACCCTCAGGGTTACTATTTGTACTCTTCCCAATCTACCTCTGTCATAGAATCAAAGATGGCGGCTACAATAATACGAACATGAACAAGCTTTCGCCCGCCCACCCAAATACGCCTGCACTGCAGGCTACTTAGGGAGCTGAAGCAAAGACATTTTTGAGCGATGCACGTCAACCGGAAGTTGACCTTTTTCATTCATGAGAAGTGGTTTAACTCAAATTTTCGGCCAAATCGTCTCTATGAAAGTAAAGACACTTAGCAATACAAATTTCGTAGCGTCAAGGCATATCATAAAGGAAAAGGCCTAACTTTCGGTTAACGTGCGTCACTCCTGGCGTTGCAGTTAAAAACACCTTTACTTAATCTCCCTATCAATGATCGAGACTGAAGATATGACCAAAATCCTCATGACAAAAGATGATCTCCAGTTTTGTGATTCCAATGAAATCGAACATGAAATTCATTTTCTTTTCTACTGCCCAAAATATCCTGGTCTTAGAAATGAATTTTTCGCTCAAGTAGGGAGATTCCCAGAGCATTTCCAGCAGTTGGGAACATGGTGATGGAACTGAACAACTTCGTCCACAGGGCTTTTCTTTTTCCGAGGAGTCCCGCCCTTTCCATGGGAAAAAGCCGTGGGCCGAGTTGTTCAAAGCCGGGTTAAGATAACCCAGGGTTAGTGCGAGATTTGAATTCAGATTTGAAAGCTTAAAAAGAATTTCAGTTTTAATTCTTTTTGTCTACAAGTTGATGATTGAAAGCTCTAAATATAACAGAAAAAAATTATCCGAGAAAATGCTTTTGAACACAAGAAAGAGAAACCCAGGTTAAATTTAACCCTGGGTTAAGCGCTAATCGACCTTCGAACAACTGGGCCCTGAGGAAGTGGTTGTAAACTGATAAGCTCTGAATGATTCGCGTGACAGTTTACCATCATTTGAGAATAATGTTACTTGCCTTTAGCGGTGATTAACACCATTAAAACACAATCAAATGTAATGTTGTTGTATTCATGTAGTTGTCGTTGTTGTATAATTTTCGACTTGTTCTTCATATCGTACAAAAGCTGAAACCAATAATTCATTCATTATTCATATGCCTTGTTCGATCTATGTAAAGGTTCTCGTCTACAAAACATTACACAAAATACTAGATTGATTCACTTTTTACAGTGCTCAGACGCATACGCAATCAAGGCCCTGATTGAGCATCTCAGCGATCCACTCACAAATTTCATAGCCCTATTTGGCCCTGGATGTGCCCTTGCCACCGAACCAGTTGCAAGTGTGACACGTTTCTGGAACCTCATACAGGTAAATTCTCTAAATGAATTCCTTAACACCAACACCTTTTACGAGGTAGAGCTCACGCAGAACTAAAAAAAAATTAAGTAGTAGCCACGATAACCCGTCGTAGCGTCTTCTTATCTTGCTTTTAATACATGATCCTTGTGCATGTACACTTGGGGCAAACTATGTCATTGATCGTAGCGTTTCGTTTATCAGAGATCATAGGAGGATATGGCTTAGAATAGTGTACGAACACTACTTTCAAAATAGTTCTCTCGTTCGGGATCGTCGTCACGTTCATTTCATAAGTCGGTACAGGCTACTGAATAAGGTCCCGTTTATATGGAGCAAAGTTGTCCCTTTGAAGAGTATCACCCTCCCCTGCAGCTTAGTTCGATCTTCAGCGAGCAAATGTGAGAAAAACTTAACTTTTACCTATTAAATGGGCCAAAAAGGCTCGCGCTGTCGCGCATATTCTGTTTGTCTTGCCTTGACTGTGTGGACTCGGTTGGGCGAGCCAAAGTGTTCATCGCCCTTTGTAATAAAAAAAGCTGTCGCACTTTGTAATAAACTTGAAATAGATGGTCGGAGGACAAGTGAACCCAGTAATAAGTGTCATCATCGACGATAACAACAACAATAATAGTAATAATAATAATAATAATAATAATAATAATAATAATAGTAAGTGTTCACATCAACTTCTGGCTTCAAGATCTTTCTAGGGAAGTACAACTCTTTATATGCGGACAACCTCGATAGAGAGAAAGTGTCTACGCCTATGACAGGGAGAGTCGTTTAAAATGGGAGTTTGTATTGGAATTTCATTTAAAGTAATTAAAGGTGTCCTTCAGGGGAAACGTGATCGTATAAGCAAAATATTTTTAAAGTTCTACTACCCGCACAGGCAACTAGAAAACCTACGATTTCGTTACCTGCGAGGTATTACTTGAGACATATACAGAGATATTACTTGATTTGTATTTATTACCATGAATAAGCTATACTGTATTTCATAAAACCAAATGAAAATCACAAACTCAGAGCACAACCCGGTGCCACAATCATTGTCATTATCATCATTATTGTCACTATTATTTTCGTACTAAAAAGTTCTTTAAAACATTGCGTATCACGTCATTGTGCCACGATGACCACTACTAATGAATGTTGTGGAAATTTCGAATACGCTGGAACCTACATGAAACGGCATCATTCATAATAATCAGAAAATGCGACATCACAAAGTATGGCCCAGCTAACATAACAAAATTTAAAGAAAATGCGAACACGAAAAGCAAATATTATTACAGTACAATGATACTAACAAAACATGTGCGATCTCTCTACCTTTCCCTGAGACTGAGGGTGGTAAGGCCTGGACTTAATTAATTTTATCTTTAATGCCTTACAAAGAGGTCTAACCTTTCCTTCAAACTCCGATCCACGATCGCTTTGAAGTCGATCTGGTGGACCATGTTCTGCATAGATCGCTTTAAGGGCTTGGCTAACATGATGACTTGCTTTCTTTTCCAGTGGGCGTAGCCTACAATACCGACTAAAAACATCCATTACGCTCAAAACATATCTGTACACTCGCCCGTCGTTTTCAATAGCATCTTTGCTTAAGTCCATTGTTGTTGTTGTCGATGATGACACTTATTACTGGGTTTAATTGTCCTCCGACCATCTATTTCAAGTTTATTACAAAGTGCGACAAGTGTTATTTCAAAGTGCGACAGCTTTTTTTTATTACAAAGTGCGATGGTCTGTTATTACAAAGTGCGACAGCTTTTTTATTACAGAGTGCGACAAGTGTTACTACAAAGTGCGACAGGTATTACAAAGTGTGTCAATTTTATTACAAAGTGCGACAGGTATTACAAAGTGCGACAGTACATGGCTCGCCCAGTGTTGGTCAGGTTGGCGGTTGGGTCTAAGAAAATATCCAGGGGGCAGGGGGGGATTTCCGGCAAATCAATTAGAGACCTTACAGAGTGGTGTTTACCAAATGACACCATCGTAGATTCTACAAAGCTGGTTTGGATGAGGGAGATGAGGTCAAGCAAAGTTTTAGCCTGATGGTTCTCTTGATCGAGCTAGAGCTGAGCCATGCTGCTATGCTCAGGCCCCACAACCTCCAGGACCCTTTATTGCAAAACCTCAACATTTTCTCACATGCTCACCCCCCTTGGCTAGGGAGAGCCATCATATGAACGTAAGACAGGCTAAGTATTATTGAATCTTGGACCTTACATGTTAAATAAATGAATAAGTAAGCATTTCTTCATGATTTCAATAAAAATGACTCAAGAAAGTAGTAATTTCTTAAAGTGGTATTTTCTCGTTTACCCACAGATCTCGTACAGCGCAGGTTCTCCCCGCCTCTCGGACAAAACACGTTACCCGACCGTCTTTCGGTTAAACTCCGACGAGACGAAATTTAATGAAGGAATTGTGGCTCTCTTGAAGCATTTTAAGTGGAACAAAGTTGCAGTCGTAAAACAAGATGAAGCCATGTTTAATGACGTAAGTGAGAACTTCACTGAAGTCTCTGAGGAGAATATTTTGGTACACAAAAGATACCACCGGGTCGAAAATGAACAATTAATGAATGAGGCTGAATATCCTGTGAAGAATTATGAAGATCGAGGAGGGTGTTATCCGTCGAGGCCGTAGGCCTAGGCGGATAACACCCTGCGAGATCTCCATAATTCTTCATATGATACGAAAGGCAAATTCAATAATTGTTTTGTTATTCATTCAAAATAATTCTTAGTTTAAAAACATGGCTAAAACATGCTTACCTCCATCGATCCATCAATGTTAAGTTCATCTTCGATAGTGCACGTTTAGGGTTGTTCAGCTTCGCAAATATTCTCCAAATAGCAGATGTCGCTCTTCGAGTTGTCTTCTTGCTGTTCTTTCCATGTTTTTAGCCATTATCTCGCCTAGTTCCTACTCTTGAAACGAGTGAAATACTTTTGTTTTCACAACCAAAACAACTCAACGGTGCATTAACCTGCCAGAAAGCTGCACTTTTGACGTCAGTGGTTCATTAAACGCGAAAATCTTCCAAATTTGGTCATGCTGCGTGTGCTTTTAGCCAATCAGAATTGGGGAAATATTTTGAATGAATAATAATAATCCTTATTAGGTGTAATGCGAAAGTGACGAATTGATAAAATTAGTGATTATATGTCGACAAAAGTGGCATGATGAAAAATGTGTGGATTCCGCTGAATGTACAATTATAGCATGAAAAATGGTCTTTCTCGAAACTGTTTGCATTTAATCAGAGTGTCCCCAGAAATTCTATATCCCATCCTTGAATGCAAGTTATATAATTTTGAAGACCGGGGTGGGGATTATCTGATGGTTGATGTGCCGCACGTTTAGAACACGGTCAACGTTCTTCTGGTAGGATCTCGGTGCGTCCAACAAATTTTGAAATAAACAACTTTTAAGGACAACAACCATTTTCTTATATCAATAAACACATTTTAGGTTAACGAGGTTCTTCAAGCACTGTTCAAGAAAGAAAACATCACCCTTTTGGCAAGCAACAGTTTTGTTGATAATCCAGATAATGTCATCAAAGATCTCAAAGTACGTGGTATTGTTTCGTATATTGTTGTTAACATTTATACAACACAGGAGCTCAAAGAACAGCTCGCATGAGCAAGTTTACCTTCTTGCTACTTCCTGGACTCATTGTATTCAACTTCAAGAGTTCCCCTAGGCTGTAGAATTCATCAAAAAACGTTCTTCGTCCTTAATCCTTATTTTCCATAAGGAGCAGATTCTTTGGTGGGGTGGTTCAGCTGGTGGTTTGCAGGGTTCGCTGTACCGCCCAATCTATGATTGCTTGGTTTTCGGTTTTGTGATTGCAATTATGTGGCTACGTAGAAATAGCGGTACCTTCTCCACTTGAGGATGAGTGCTTCATGTTAAACACATTAATAGCCAAATAAAAAGAGCCAAGGTAAACGAATTAATTCTTTGATTTCAATGTCAGTACCGTAACTGTTTCATTTTAATGTCGAAAACCTGTGCAGGAGTACGAATATTAGGAGCACTGACAGTTTTAATTGTCTGCTTCATACTAAAGCATTCGTAGGCTGGAAGTCTTTGTTTTTTCTTTCAGGAGAAGGATGCGAGAATAATCATTACTTTAATGTACGAGGACAGATGTAGAAGGCTCATGTGTTCCGTAAGAATACGTTTCTGATACATGCCCCATCTTTTATCATTAATTTTCTCATGCATCTGCCATCTGGTGCGCCCTTCCCGAATAATTTATAATAAGTAATAATAATTAAAGCTAGCTTACACAATTGCGAACTTATTGAAGACACCCAACGACTTACAAACTAAACCACATGATGTACTTTTACAAACTTAAAATATAATATATTGATTTAGCCAGAGCTAAAAGCGAAGCTTCAGTTTATGCATTTTAAATTTACTTCAGACAATGGACTTGAAACCATTGCAAAGAAGTCTACAAATCTATACTTAACTTTGGGGGAGAACCATATGACTGAAAAACATAAACTTGAACCTACGATCGATTTAAAACTAACAACTGGTAAGCGGAAAACTTCACAAAACACGTGACCTCAATGAGTTGGCACCTGAGCCCGCGATATGGTCATGCTGACTCTGGTCAGCGGGACACCCTGTTTTGACAACTGTCAACTGACTATCATATGGTTGTCTACCATCAAGTTAAACACAGGTTACAGGCTCCCACACTAACTAGAAAGTTTGACTCTCCTTGGATTCAGTGTGGTGCAGACGGACGGGCGGACGAATGGGTAAAGACGATTTTTAGCGTAACAAAGCATCACAACATTGTTGCGTCATTCTTTCGTAACATCACGACCCTGTGTTGCGCTAAAAGTCGTTAATCGTGTCGTGTAACATCACCTTTAGGTATGGGGCTAAGCGCGCGCGTAGAGTTCCGCTATGAAAGATGTCTAAGAGAAAATCAAATGCAAATTAAAACCCTATCTGAGACATCCTAATAGGTCTTGCAGAGTTTGATAAAAGCCTGCCTGTCCCTCCCTTGGTGCAGTATTTCAAGGTAAGCAAGAGGGCCTATTTCTTTGAAACTATTTCACTATCATAATTGCCTCTTTCAGGCTTATAAGAACGGGTTCCACGGTCATCATCGAGTCTGGTTTTTGAGGGGATGGTATACAGCATCATGGTGGAATAAAACCGAAAAGGATGTAAACTGCACTGCCGAACAGATCAAACTTGCGGCCGGAAGTTACTTAGCAACGGAGACAATTATTTTCAGTGATGTTCCAGATAAACCAACAGTAGCTGGTTGGGTAAGAATATCTGTTTTCTGTTGACTCTTAGAAGGCCTGAAGTGGCGTCAGAAATGGGGAAATATATTAAGCCTCAGCTGAGGATCAAAGATACCTGAGAAATGGGAGTGATGGATTGGGCTGGAGAAATATACAACCAGTTGTTCATATTTTATTTTATCACCGATAAAAATTAAGACTTTCGTATCATTTCATTATCGTAAGTAGTATAATAAGAAAAGAACTTTCCTTTTTTGGTGGGAATCTTATAAAGGAGAAGTACATTAACGCCCTGGACGTCAAAGCCATTGTATTTATCTCCTGAATAAAATGCGACGAAATCTCATTAAGATAAGGTCACGTGCCATTTTATTTTTTTTAACCGGTTTGACAGGTTTTCTAGTTATTTTTAGGTCGATGAATGTCCTGGTCTTTGATTGGTTGACTAAAAAAGAATGTCGAACTTTCAAACCGGTTAAGCCATCTAAAAATAGGACATAGCCTTGTATCTAAATGAGACTCGCCCGCATCTTATTCAAGAGATAAATAGTCAAGAGACAAATGGCTATGTCGTCATCGGCGGTGATGCACTCCCTCACAAAGTAGTAAGAGTCTTTCGCGATACAAATATGAATAATTCGGTCCCTTCTCTACTACTAACGTAAATTTCTTTTATGCTGACAAATCCTATCAACTAAGAGAAATACTAACAATTCTTGGTATCGAATTAATCTCAAACTAAATATTTTTCCAGACTGCGTCTGAACTTAGGCAGTTGTATAAAGCCAGGTTGAAGAACACGTCTCAAGAAGAAAACAGTTACGCTCCATATGGCTATGATAGTATTTGGTTTTTAGCTCTCGCACTTAATCAGACCATGGCTCTACTCACTAAACACAACCTATCGCTACACAACTTCACTTACAAAGGGCAACAAAGTCGAATAATTAAAGAAAGTTTGCATCAGTCGTTATTGGAAACCAGGTTTATTGGCATGTCGGTGAGTGAAAGCAGAGCATCTCATGCCTAATGCGCTCGCTCGCAGCACCATGGCTTAGAAAATCTGTTTTAAAATAGGCCATTTCCGTGTTCCAAAAAACTCTTACTTTCAAAACGAGGCTATGTGCAAATTATTTTTTATGAAAATGAGGGGTTTTTTTTGAAGGAGAATAGCTTCAATAGCTTCACCTTCAACTTCGCTTTGAAACAGAGGCTTGGGGCCACTGGGAGATGGCCTATTTGATTATTCCTTTACCATANTTTTTTAACCGGTTTGACAGGTTTTCTAGTTATTTTTAGGTCGATGAATGTCCTGGTTTTTGATTGGTTGACTAAAAAAGAATGTCGAACTTTCAAACGGGTTAAGCCATCTAAAAATAGGACATAGCCTTGTATCTAAATGAGACTCGCCCGCATCTTATTCAACAGATAAATAGTCAAGAGACAAATGGCTATGTCGTCATCGGCGGTGATGCACTCCCTCGCAAAGTAGTAAGAGTCTTTCGCGATACAAATATGAATAATTCGGTCCCTTCTCTACTACTAACGTAAATTTCTTTTATGCTGACAAATCCTATCAACTAAGAGAAATACTAACAATTCTTGGTATCGAATTAATCTCAAACTAAATATTTTTCCAGACTGCGTCTGAACTTAGGCAGTTGTATAAAGCCAGGTTGAAGAACACGTCTCAAGAAGAAAACAGTTACGCTCCATATGGCTATGATAGTATTTGGTTTTTAGCTCTCGCACTTAATCAGACCATGGCTCTACTCACTAAACACAACCTATCGCTACACAACTTCACTTACAAAGGGCAACAAAGTCGAATAATTAAAGAAAGTTTGCATCAGTCGTTATTGGAAACCAGGTTTATTGGCATGTCGGTGAGTGAAAGCAGAGCATCTCATGCCTAATACGCTCGCTCGGAGCACCATGGCTTAGAAAATCTGTTTTAAAATAGGCCATTTCCGTGTTCCAAAAAACTCTTACTTTCAAAACGAGGCTATGTGCAAATTATTTTTTATGAAAATGAGGGGTTTTTTTTGAAGGAGAATAGCTTCAATAGCTTCACCTTCAACTTCGCTTTGAAACAGAGGCTTGGGGCCACTGGGAGATGGCCTATTTGATTATTCCTTTACCATAGGACCGTGCGCCCGCAACATCATGTATGCCAAGGTGAAATGTTACACTTGCCCAAACATGTTTTATGAGAATTAAAGCACCCCTTCGTTTTTAAAAAGATATACGCCTCCCATTTCAAAATCAATTTACAACTATTAAAATGGAACACTCGCTAACTTGTGTTACATAACGGTCACATTTTTGGGGCGGGTTATCGGCCCTCGGCCTCGGCAGATAACACTCTCCTCGATCTGCATACTAAGCTCATCCAATAATTGCTAAATGCTCGAATCAGCTCACGATTAGCTATGAGCATATTAAGTTAGGAAGCTGGGTTTTATTTGTTGTCTAAAAGAGACCACACCCCATCTCCAAAGTGGCGGCGTTTGTTTTTTTCTCTTTTTACAAATATTCTTTACGCACAAACCTAATACCGTAAAATTCCGAAAAAAAGCCCCTCCATGTATAAGCCCCTCCAAATATAAGCCCCCCCAGACCGGTAACGCAAAAAAACCCTCCGTTAAATCGCCCCTCCAAATACAAGCCATTAGGGGGCTTGTACTTGGAAAATTGCCCTCAAATATAAAGTAAAACAAAGCAAAAACTGTAATTTACTTCCAACTATAAGGCTAGCCCAATCTATTTTGAAACGCAAATTTCCCTCCGTAGATAAGCCCCTCCAAAAATAAGCCCCTCAAAAAGGGCCTTTGAAAGATATAAGCCCCGGGGCTTATTTTCGGAATTTTACGGTACCTTTATGGGCAAAAATATTGTACGTCCGTCCTGAAAACCCTAAGCCATGGCCAGTACAAAATCTGCAAGTTCTAATCCTCAGGCAAACGAAGTTTTTTTCATATCGGAATCCCTTCCCCTGGCTATAAATATAGTTATTTATTTTTTTAAAAAATAAGAGTGAAAACCAATACCTGATCATTCGTGTCTCCCAACATGTTAAGGGTGATGTTGGATTTTCAGAAAAAGGAGAAAGGAAAACCAAGATATGGATTGAGCAAATGCAAGGTGAGGATTAAAGAGAATTTAATACTAACAACCTTAAATATCTGTTGTTAAATACTCGGCTGATCGCCCAAACTCACGGTGTCTTCTCCCCAGTTCCATCGATTTCATGAAAAAGATAGACGTTAATGTCTTGTAAGTTTCAGTGCACTTTTCCCTAGTTCAATCATAACGTTAACAAGTGTATTTATAATTGAGTTGAATGAGCGCGGGAACAGCTGGAAACGTCTGCGGCAACACCAAGTGGGGGCAAACCTCACCCGCACGATTGTCGAGAACAGGTGGAAAGGTGTGAAAGACATGGAATATAGCAGTAAATTAAAAGAAATAAAAACACAAACGAGAACATTTGATCTGGTAAAAAAAGGCCAGTTGGAGACTCTTTGTATGCCTCTTACAAGAAAATTAAGGTATGTGCTAACGATATCTCTCGTTAAAACGTAAAACCTATGAAATACGTGTGGGCTACCTGAGAACGTGGGATTTTAAAACTCACAAGATTTATTTATTATATCGTTCCTATTTCAGGTAACAAGGAAGTCAGAGTGGGAACCTTTAGAAGTGAAAACAGTAGTATGGAAATAATTTCAAATACAAATTTCAAATGGCCAGGTGCGTAAGGCCCAGTTTAAACGTCGACCTTTCCATGTACCAAACCTAATCCCTTGGATTAAGTACTTGAAAAGATAGACGTTTGAATCAATTAAGTTCGACGTATCTAATTTGGGTTGACCCATGAAGTAAGATCAAATGGCCCACATGGGAATTTTAACGGTGGACCAACTTCGTTTCAAACGTCGAAATTCTCATCTGCCGAACGTAAGCAAGCATTTTAGACCATTGAACATCATGAAACTTAATTGATCGCGACTAATTAAGCTCGACGTCTGAATCAACCGTCGAACTTATATCATTTTCGACGACCTAAATAGGTATTAAGTTCGGCACATGAAAATTAAAGATCGACGTTTGAACTGGGCGGGGAGCTGGGCCCAAGTAGAGTACAGTGACCTATCACGCATGTACACCATGAGGATTTATTTATGTCTCGTGATCTCTCAGAGAAAACGGATGAAGCAAGCAATTTAGCTTGCCCTTGGTACCAGAGGTTTCTTTCTTGCGCGTTGTTTAATGCTTTTAATTTTGGGCGCCTTCACATCTTCGGTCGTTGCCGCGAGCGGATAACTATAAAAACTTGAACGAAAGCGCAAGGAAGAAAAAAGTCTCTGGCACCCACTTGGTAAATACAAGTGGTCAAGTTGGGTTAGCGAAAACAACAAAAAAATGAGGAAACTTTTATGTTAAAGACGACTTTAAGCAAAATAAGGGTAAGGGGATCTTTGCGGTGTGATCTTTTTGAATGCAGAATAGCCTGTTAGGGGTATTCAGATAGCGTTCGGTGTTTTCCTCCTATTAAACCAGTTGATATTTCCTTCATCTCACCAGTCTTCACGTATATATATACTGGAGTGGCGGGTTGTGTCAGTAAGGTCTATTATAAAAAACAATTCGGCTGTAAGTTGATAATACATTAGACTAAGTATAGTAGTAAAGAAGTACTGTGAGTAATGAAATTACCGTTTTAATAAGAGGAGGAGGAGGAGGAGAAAGAGGGGTTTGTTGAAAATTGTGTTTAGTAGGCCAAGAATCCGCAATGAACCAGGAACCAGGAAAATTAGTTGTTCTCAATGAACGATGAAAGCGGCATGCAGCAATAGAAATTACAGTTCAGTGATTTTAATTCACAGGCGAGTTGGCGCTTATTCCTTCGACAACATGAATCAACCAATGAATACTTTTCTTAATTTTTAGTCAACCCATCAAAAACTTAGACTTTCGAATTTTGAAACGCAAATTTCCCTCCGTAGATAAGCCCCTCCAAAAATAAGCCCCTCAAAAAGGGCCTTTGAAAAATATAAGCCCCGGGGCTTATTTTCGGAATTTTACGGTACCTTTATGGGCAAAAATATTAGACGTCCGTCCTGAAAACCCTAAGCCAGTACAAAATCTGCAAGTTCTAGTCCTAAGGCAAACGAAGTTTTTTTCATATCGGAATCCCTTCCCCTGGCTATAAATTTTTAAAAACTAAGAGTGAAAGCCAATACCTGATCATTCGTGTCTCCCAACATGTTAAGGGTGATGTTGGATTTTCAGAAAAAGGAGAAAGGAAAACCAAGATATGGATTGAGCAAATGCAAGGTGAGGATTAAAGAGAATTTAATACTAATAACCTTAAATATCTGTTGTTAAATACTCGGCTGATCGCCCCAGCTCACGGTGTCTTCTCCCCAGTTCCATCGATTTCATGAAAAAGGTAGACGTTAATGTCTTCTAAGTTTCAGTGCACTTTTCCCTAGTTCAATCATTACGTTAACAAGTGTATTTATAATTGAGTTGAATGAGCGCGGGAACAGCTGGAAACGTCTGCTACACTTCAATGCAAACTGCAACACCAAGTGGGGGCAAACCTCACCCACACGATTGTCGAGAACAGGTGGAAAGGTGTGAAAGACATGGAATATAGCAGTAAATTAAACGAAATACAAACACAAACGAAAACATTTGATCTGGCAAAAAAAGGCCAGTTGGAGACTCTTTGCATGCCTCTTACAAGAAAATTAAGGTATGTGCTGACGATATCTCTCGTTAAAACGTAAAACCTATGAAATACGTGTGTGGGCTACCTGAGAACGTGGGATTTAAAAACTCACAAGATCTATTTATTATATCCTTCCTATTTCAGGTACCAAGGAAGTCAGAGTGGGAACGTTTAGCAGTGACAACAGTAGTATGGAAATAATTTCAAATACAAATTTCAAATGGCCAGGTGCGTAAGGCTCAGTTTAAACGTCGACCTTTCATGTACCAAACCTTAATCCCTTGGATTAAATACTTGAAAAATAGACGTTTGAATCAATTAAGTTCGACGTATTTTATTTGGGTTGACCCATGAAGTAAGATCAAATGACCCACATGGGAATTTTGACGGTGGACCAACTTCGTTTCAAACGTCGAACTTCTCATCTGCCGAACGTAAGCAAGCATTTTAGACCATTGAACATCGTGAAACTAAATTAAGCGCGACTAATTAAGCTCGACGTCTAGCTTACATCATTTGCGACGACCTAAATAGGTATTAAGTTTGGCACATGAAAATTAAGGATCGACGTTTGAACTGGGCGGGGAGCTGGGCCCAAGTAGAGTACAGTGACCTATCACGCATGTACACCATGAGGATTTATTTATGTCTCGTGATCTCTCAGAGAAAAAGGATGAAGCAAGCAAGCAATTTAGCTTGCCCTTGGTACCAGAGGTTTCTTTCTTGCGTGTTGCTTAATGCTTTTAATTTTGGGCGCCTTCACATCTTCGGTGGATGCCGCGAGCGGATAACTATAAAAACTTGAACGAAAGCGCAAGGAAGAAAAAAGTCTCTGGCACCGAGTTGGCAAATACAAGTGGTCAAGTTGGGTTATCGAAAACAACAAAAAAATGAAGAAACTTTTATGTTAAAGACGACCTTAAGCAAAATAAGGGTCAAGGTGATCTTTGCGGTGTGATCTTTTTGAATGCAGAATAGCCTGTTAGGGGTATTCAGATAGCGTTCGGTGTTTTCCTCCTATTAAACCAGTTGATATTTCCTTCATCTCACCAGTCTTCAGGTATATATATACTGGAGTGGCGGGTTGTGTCAGTAAGGTCTATTATAAAAAACAATTCGGCTGTAAGTTGATAATACATTAGACTAAGTATAGTGGTAAAGAAGTACTGTGAGTAATGAAATTACCGTTTTAATAAGAGGAGGAGGAAGAGGAAGAATGGGGGGAAAGAGGAGGATGGGGAGGAGAAGAAAGAGGAGGAAGAGGAGAAAGAGGAGTTTGTTGAAAATTGTGTTTAGTAGGCCAAGAATCCGCAATGAACTAGGAACCAGGAAAATTAGTTGTTCTCAATGAAAAATGAAAGCGGCAGCAATAGAAATTACAGTTCAGTGATTTTAATTCACAGGCGAGTTGGCGCTTATTCCTTCGACAACATGAATCAACCAATGAATACTTTTCTTAATTTTTAGTCAACCCATCAAAAACTTAGACTTTCGTCGACCTAAAAGTAACTGAAATACCTGTCTAACATGTTAAATAACCTAAAATAGAAAAACATCTTATCTTAATGAGATATTCCCACATTTTACTAAATATATAAAGACAAAAAGCTATTACGTTGTCGGCGTTAATGTATTCAATGTATTACCCTTAAAATGAAAGGTTAATTTCGTTCCTACTATACTACTTTGTATTTTTTCTACAGACGGAAAAGGGGTGCCGTCTGATCGTCGAATAATGATTGAGAGGCGGCAAAAAGTCAGCCTGCTTTTGTTTGTGATCTTGGTAGTTATGTCCTCCTTAGGAATTATTATGGCTATTAGCTTTCTCATCTTTAACATACGAAACAGAGCTTCAAGGTGAGTTTTTGTTTTCAAATCTTTAACGGATTAATGTCTTCAGTTGAAAAAAAAAATCACAATTACTTCTATCAGCAAATTGGACTATTTTTGTTTTCTTCAAATTTGCTCCATTACAGACATGTACCGTAAATGATCCAATAGAGGAACCGCAAGCGGAGGTGTTTATTACATAGAAGGTGTTTAAAAGAGAGAGGCGTTAATTTTCGTAACTGTAACAAACTCCAAAAAACTTATATGCTTTCGTCAAATATATCACCACAGAATATAAATAGGGTAAACGTGTTTGCTATTTACTTGTTTGATAATAATGTNGCAGCAATAGAAATTACAGTTCAGTGATTTTAATTCACAGGCGAGTTGGCGCTTATTCCTTCGACAACATGAATCAACCAATGAATACTTTTCTTAATTTTTAGTCAACCCATCAAAAACTTAGACTTTCGTCGACCTAAAAGTAACTAAAATACCTGTCTAACATGTTAAATAACCTAAAATAGAAAAACATCTTATCTTAATGAGATATTCCCACATTTTACTAAATATATAAAGACAAAAAGCTATTACGTTGTCGGCGTTAATGTATTCAATGTATTACCCTTAAAATGAAAGGTTAATTTCGTTCCTACTATACTACTTTGTATTTTTTCTACAGACGGAAAAGGGGTGCCGTCTGATCGTCGAATAATGATTGAGAGGCGGCAAAAAGTCAGCCTGCTTTTGTTTGTGATCTTGGTAGTTATGTCCTCCTTAGGAATTATTATGGCTATTAGCTTTCTCATCTTTAACATACGAAACAGAGCTTCAAGGTGAGTTTTTGTTTTCAAATCTTTAACGGATTAATGTCTTCAGTTGAAAAAAAAAATCACAATTACTTCTATCAGCAAATTGGACTATTTTTGTTTTCTTCAAATTTGCTCCATTACAGACATGTACCGTAAATGATCCAATAGAGGAACCGCAAGCGGAGGTGTTTATTACATAGAAGGTGTTTAAAAGAGAGAGGCGTTAATTTTCGTAACTGTAACAAACTCCAAAAAACTTATATGCTTTCGTCAAATATATCACCACAGAATATAAATAGGGTAAACGTGTTTGCTATTTACTTGTTTGATAATAATGTGAACTGCGGAAATACAAATTTTTAAATGAACATATGATCGCCGCAGTGGTAATTAAAATTGAGCAATTGCAAATAAACCCGAAAAAAAAATTCCGGACTTCAACGGGATTCGAACCCATGGCCTCTGCGTTAGCGTTGCAGAGCTCTACAGACTGAACTACGAAGTCCCAGCTACACTTTAAAGTTTGTATCAGACGTCCGTCTTCAATAAACAACCCCTGTCTAATAGACGCCCCGGATGACAGTTGCTCCATAGTACTGGGAAATAGCCAAATATAGTAAAATCATTCAACTTATTTAGTTCCATGTTTGATAAACAAAAGTTTGCGCATTGCATTTTGTTCAAGTTCAAACTAAGAACTATGACATCAAAGTTGACTTTTATAAAAACGATCCTGATCTCTTAACAGCCGAGACGTATCAATGAATGGATTGGATAGTCCGCTATTTACATCTAGAAACGTTAAGAGTGCATAATCGGTTGTCTGACAACTATAAAAGCTAGTCAAAAGTGCGAATTATGCTAGCAGTGTTTTTTTCAGAAAATAGATGAAAATTGAGCTCGTAATGACCAATTATGCCAAAAATTATACCAGCACAATCCGTAATCAAAGCCTAGTTTTGACTGCTGTAAATTAACCACAACATGGATGTGCGATATCCGATTACAGGCCGTTTGCAGGGGTCCTACTCTGTGTGACATTTCAGATTGGTTTCCCTATGGTGAGAACGCGGAGGTACGGTCAGGTCACTACCAAACTTTTTGAATGTATAGCTAACTAAAATTTCTTAGCTAAAATGCTCCGCTCGCGCACGAGTAGAGCTCCGCTATTAAGGCAAGATGAGTTCTTTCGGTGTCGTGTTGACGTCTTGCAGAGTTAATTTTCACGTAGTACGATCAGCATTGCAGTATTCAAGTGTATATTTCATCGGCTTTTAACATCTGCTAGGTCCATACGTTCAGTCGAAGCATAAGTCAAAAAACAAGGTATTTAGGGACTTGTCAGTTTTAGCAGGGGGGAGGTGGGGTGGGAATTTTAAATTTGGGTTCGGAAATCAGGTGACCTATCCCTGCAATGGGAGTGAAATTTGCTAACCCTCCCCTTCAGCTTGGCCTAAAATATCATGACCCTCCCCCTCTTGTATAAATGATAAAATCTAGTTCTTGCAATACACTTGGGTGAGTCAGTATTATGAAAGCTCAAAATATATTTCTAATCTGTTCTTTGTAATGCCATATACATACATTTTAGATGACAGCATTAAGAGTCCGACTCTGATTCTGACAGCTGATCACTCGACTCTCCTATTTCTCCTAGGGTTTTTTTTACAAAATAAAGAACTTCTTTTTTCTTCTGTGGGTGAACCTCTACATGATCACACACACATATTTGCATGACCCCCGCCCCCTTTTAACGATCATTTTTCGTGACCCCTCCCTTTTCTGCAGTCTCAAAAAGTTGTGACCCTACCTCTGTACCCCCCTCCCCCCCTGCTAATTCCTGACAAGTTCCTTATTGGATAATTCGGTCACTTGCACTTTTAGTCTCATCAAAATGTCTTCTCCGAATATAAACAACATCATGGCAGTGGGCTGTATAATCTGCTACGCATGCGTGTTCCTATTGGGAGCAGACAGTTTGCTGGATCAGGATTCTCAGATAACAACGCACTCAACACTATGTAAGGTGAGGGATTTTTCTGTCATTGTTCTCCAGCTCTCTTTCAACGGCTGGTTTGTATGCTACTCCAGTTTGTGATCATGCCTGTTGACGACCTTTTTTATGTTTTTTTTGAGGTCGTAAGCAATTGTCGAATGTGTCAAGTTGAGTTCGCATGATGTTTTTTGTAACTGCTTCATAACGGAATGTCAAAGCCGTGCAAGACCGTGTAACACAACTGAATGATCATAATCACGTCCTGTTTTTACCAAAATTGAAGAGACGCAATTTACTTTGCTTGCACTTCTTGCTTGGCAACAGTCTTCGCTCACCATTTTTTTTCATTGTCTATTTGTTGTTTCGCGTTTATCGCTGGTTCAGTCATGCGTATTTGCGCCTGGTACTGTCAGTAGGTCACCTACGCTTGAACTGGTGAAGATGTGTTTTGCCGCGCTTGGCTTTTATTAAAGGCCTAGCTAAGGTCGGCGCTGGCTGCATGTTGTCCTGTTTTTATTCTTCATTTTAGTTTTCCACACGTGGCATTACTCGGTAAGTTTTTGTATTCAGCGCTATCATATGATCTTTCTAGTGATAGGTTATTCGTATCTGAGAGGTAGGAAGGTCCAAGCACCATGTAAAGTGCTTTCGTCAGGAAGATCCTGGTACTAGGAACAAAACATACATAAATGGCGGCAGTTTGTTCAATTGGGAGTCTTTGATTTTTAATCCCTTCTGTACTGTTAACTACAAGGACCGAAATTTCTGTATGTAAACCTAACGAAAAGTTGTTCCACCTTCTAGGATCTCCCTGGCATACGTGGATCTTTCTCCCTCTATCTAAGCTTTCCCGCGTTTGATCATGGGTATTAGAGTATCTAGCGCTATATGTAAACTTACTACAAGTCGACCTCACGAGTTTCTTAGCGAGCGGGGTGAGCTTTTTAGGCCGCGAAGCGGCCAAGCGAGCGACGAAGTCGCGAGAGGTATACTCTTGACGTTGCATTTTAATTTCCAGAACTTAACTGTTACTTTTCCGATTGTTGGCACTGGTCATTTGTCGTGGTTTCTTTCCTTCATAAGTGTAGTGGAGTAGAACCACAGACAGTAGTTTCATTAAAGTTTGATTTATTGCATAATCTCTTTATCCTAGGGTCTATGCTAACAGCAATTTGTTAAATTCGAAAAGAAAAAATCATTAGAAACTGTCATAATTTATAGAAATGAGATCGTACTTCTGTTTATCATCTATCTCTTTCAATTTCTCAGGCTCGTCTTTGGGTAATGTCAGTTGGATTTACTATGGCATATGGTGCTATGTTTGTAAAAACGTGGAGAGTTTACAGGATATTTACGAACACGGATATGAAAAAAGAGGTAGGTATATGAAACAATCACCGGGTGATCATGTGTATTGGTGAAATAAAATTAAAGAAAATGCTGCTGAAACTTTCTCGGCTTGTTCATATTTTCGACGCCATTTTACGACTTAAAAGAAAACTAGTGGGTTTAGAACAAAACAAAACAAAAACTAGGAAATAGAATATAGATCGGGGTTGCATGTAGTTAACACTACAGTGAATTTCCGACTATTCTTTTTTTTTTGGAAAAATGGCGTTGATTCTCTCCTTCGTCCAAGGAGCAACCGCGGCGGATGCAAAAAGCAAAAGAGAAAAAGGGAAAAAGGGACTCCAAGGCTCGTTCACCAAGAGACTATTTACCTTGCGGACGTTTTGTCGTCCTATATGTTTATTGGCTTTTGTGAAAACGTTTCCATAAAAGCCGTTATCACAAAAAACAATAAGGCAAATCGCTATCTCTTCTTTCTTTCCCTGGTTTAAGAGATGCCACCATATTTATTTTTTGTTTTACGTTCTCAGCTCGGAAGGCTTCATGACCGTCATCTCGTAGGGATACTGGTCACTCTTGTTATCTGGGATCTGTTATACCTGTCTGTTTGGCAATCAATCTCACCTCTTACTACTGAGAGCAAGATGGTTGGAGTAAGTATCTCAACCAAAACGTCCATTGAAGGATGTGTCACGAAATTTATCAAAATTCACACGGCTGTAACTGCCACCAAATTGAGTGAAACAAAACAAATGCTCATAATGTTTAAAGAAGGTATAAATGACACTGCAAATACCAAAGGAAGCACGGATGGACAAACTTGAAGAAGATTGAAACGGATTGCAATTGTGGTTTTTGAAAACATGTTAGCCTAACAACTTTTCAGAGTTCATTTTGATTGTATGTAAAGTTTGATTTGGTACTTGGGAGACATATTTGTTTGAAATAAAGCTGCTATTTTGTCATTTATTATTTACAAGTAATTTATCAAGTTTTATAGAGAATGAAGACACGTAATTGGCTTTATAAACAAGGCGAAATTAAGTAACCAACCGTGACACAGCTTCTTTAAGCTTGAGTACCTCATTATTTCTTTATCCGTAGCCACTTGGTGGAATTCGAGTAGGTAAGGGATTTAGCTGCCCCCAATTCCCTTTAAAATAAGTCATCACACATTGTAAATTTATATATTTCCATCATGTCTACTAATTGAATACTATTGGGCGTTTTGAAACTGAAAATTCTTGCAATGAATGATCGCATACTGACACCTGTAGGGGCGGATCCAGAAAATTCAGAAAGAGGAGGCCGGGACACTTGTCCGCTAGGTAAATACCGTTAATTTTACTGAGAATTATTTTCAAATAATGCAAAATTTGACCACCCCTAAAAGCGCCCTTGCATCATGTTGTGGCTCATAGATAAAAGCTTGCAAACAAACTTGCCTGTTTATCATGCGAAAACGTGCACTTTCGCAATTGGGTGAAATAAAGTTTGCCAGAAAACATACCGGTGAGGGACAGTAAATTTATACCCCCTCCGTATAAAACGTCCCTGGATCCGCCCTTGCCATTGCCTCGTGCTGTAACCACTAAACAAGTTTTTCTCACATAATATTCCTGTTGAATATTTTTAAGGTGTTGATGCCGAAAGATGAAATCAATGTGAGACACTTTGTATGGGTTTGTAACTGTGAGCACATTGGAACGTGGACGGCCTCCTTATACGCCTACAAAGGCCTACTCTTGGCAATTGGTGTCTTCCTTGCTTGGGAAACAAGAAACGTGAACTATCCAGCCTTGAACGACTCAAGACAGATCGGAATCAGCGTGTATAATGTAGTTCTCTGTTCCTCAATCGCTATATTGTTAGATTTTGCGTTAAAGCAACGAACAAGTGTGAACACTTCATTTGTGTTGTCAGGCACCCTGGTAAACATATGTATTTCGTTCTCACTTGGACTTTTGTTTTTGACCAAGGTAAGGCTTGTTTGAGGCAAAATCAACAGTCAATTCACTTTTTAAAAGAGTACCGGTGCATTGGCTTTTTTTTTAGTTACCGCTGCTACGGCTTATACCTTAGGACTCTCCTGGCCACGATTTTCTGCATAGCTGGTGGAAGTTTGCCCTCCAATGCTTAATTTTAGGTCGTGACTGCGAGCGGTGAAGCTGCGAGGAGAACGGATTCAGGTCGACAAAACTGCCCATGAGGATGGCGCTGGCGATCATGAATTTGCTTGGAAGTACTCCTGTAGCTGCCTCCTCCTCAGGCACCCCGTATTTCGCATAGAATCAAGCGCCAAACGTGAGTGACTGGTGATGAAGCGCAATTGAACCCGGGAAAGAGAAAGAAGAAAGGCGAGACCCGTTTTCCCCTTCCCGTTTCTCTTTGTGCGCAACTTTTCATCAAGAAAGAGACGTCTTGGTTCGAAGCAGCTCCCGTAGCACTCCCGTGCGGCAAAATACCACCAGCTTCGGAAATATCAGGCTAAGGGTTTTCCGCAGTTAGGTCTCTCCTGCACTTTGCGTTCTGATGAATGCGCGCAACACGAATTCTACAAACAATGCATTACAGGACTAAAATTGATGGACTTGTTATCATCCCGGTTCAAAAATGGCGCTGTTAAAAAACCTTTTTTTTTCTTTTCTAGATTCATGCCTTAAGATTTAAACCAACAGTCCACGTGCAAGACGATCAACCTCCCACAATTTCAACACAAAGTAAATCTCGACCACACCCAAACTGTCCTGCTTGCAAGTGCGAATAACACATGGTCATTTAGTTAACGATTGGGTTTGGTGATATTAGTCATGCAGGGATATTTGTATTCTGTCGTTCGAGGTAGGATACTCAAAGCAGGATTTGAGAGAATAAAGAGCCTTAGATTTGAGGACAAGAACGAGTACTAGATTTAACTTAAAGTTAAAACGACATCCTGCAAAGCTTCCATTTACTTTTTTCACCAAAAAAGATAGTACGGTTATATATTCTGAAGGAGGTTAAACCCTCTCCCGATAGCAAAATGATAAAATGTCTTACATTTGATAACTTGTTCCCGCCTCTGAGAGATTCTCGCTAAAACTTGTACTAGAATGACGGCGGCTATCACGTTTTCCCGCCAAAATGACGCTGCTTCACGTGCGAGCATAACTTAGTATAGCAAAAATCTCGTAATTGTAGTCGTCCTCGTCTTAGAATCTAAAGCTCTCTAATATTTGACTTTTTTAAAATCCTAATTTGAGGATATATTGTGAAGTAGATTGGTGTTCTTCTAAGGCAGGAACTGGGACGCGTGAGACGATTTATATTTAAAATTTCTTTTGGCGTGTGAAATGTTTCGCCCTTTCGAAGAAATTAGGAAAAGAGGAGACTGTCCCCAGTCGCACTGTCAAGGGAAACTTGTAATCGTCAAATTTCCATGAGGCTTTAGAAGACCCGCGACCAGGAGCCATAATTGGGGTGGGGGACCTTAACTGGATGCCTTTCCCAGTAATGGGGTTGGTTCCATCGAAATAGTCAAATCAAATGTGCTATTTTCCATCTCGTGTGACACGCGTGCGCAATTTTGAGAGGGCATTGCGCAAATGATAAACAAACAAAATGGCTTCGAAAATTATCTCCGTAGGAGATGAAAACCTCTTTGACAATAACTCTGAATATTTAGGACTGTGAATGTGATTCTGGTGATTTTAATCATCGTAATGAGGCTGTTTTTGACAAATCCAGAGACGAAGAGATTTCGGAGGTGTTGTGCTATGAATATCCAGTTCGGACGAAACAAAAAAAAAAAAACTTGCGGGGAAAAGGAGGGTGGAAAATTGACAACGAGAACAAATCATTGTGGCTAATTTTCCTCAAATATATCTTTGAATTCATGATAAATACAGCTCCACCAGCTTCAAACAGCGTCTACCAGCAGAAGTTCGCGAAAAAAGACTTTAAATACAATAATTTTCTCATATTAACATTATCCTTGGCAACGTGGCGCAGTGGTCTAGGAGNACACGCGTGCGCAATTTTGAGAGGGCATTGCGCAAATGATAAACAAACAAAATGGCTTCGAAAATTATCTCCGTAGGAGATGAAAACCTCTTTGACAATAACTCTGAATATTTAGGACTGTGAATGTGATTCTGGTGATTTTAATCATCGTAATGAGGCTGTTTTTGACAAATCCAGAGACGAAGAGATTTCGGAGGTGTTGTGCTATGAATATCCAGTTCGGACGAAACAAAAAAAAAAACTTGCGGGGAAAAGGAGGGTGGAAAATTGACAACGAGAACAAATCATTGTGGCTAATTTTCCTCAAATATATCTTTGAATTCATGATAAATACAGCTCCACCAGCTTCAAACAGCGTCTACCAGCAGAAGTTCGCGAAAAAAGACTTTAAATACAATAATTTTCTCATATTAACATTATCCTTGGCAACGTGGCGCAGTGGTCTAGGAGCAGACCTTCCGATGATCCGGATTCGACACTCGACTCAGCTACAGTGAAACCTCTATTAAGCGGACACCTTCGGGACCTTCCCAAGTGTCCGCTTAAAAAAGATTGTAAAAATTGCTCAATGTTTGTTAACGATCAACATTCAACGGTTACTCCGTACTGTGATAAAGTTACATGTTGTTAAAGAAGCTATCCAGAGTTCAAATTCATTACCTTTTATTACCAACTTTAATTTGTTTGTAAATTCAAAAACATTAACTGACTTTAATTCGTATTTCAAGGACGTAATCCAATACTACTATTGTCAATTCAGTCCGATATCCGCTTAATAGAGATTTTTAACAATAGAAATTAGCCAAATACAGCTTATTTTAGCGTCCGTGTCGGCTTAATAGAGGTGTCCGCTGAATAGGGGTTCGTTATAAAGGGAAATATCGGACGTTCGTTTCGGGACCAGGCTTAGTGTCCGGTTAAAAGAGGCTGTCCGCTTAATAGAGGTTTCACTGTATTTTTTTCTTTGTTGTAAAGTTTTTTCGTTTTGTTTTTGTTTTTATTTTTTTTAATCATGTTTGTCCTCTTTGGCTTGTTTCCCTTTATTCTTGCTGCTGGCCCATCACAGCCTCGCGAGGTTTTTGCAATAAATGTATTTCTAGTATATTTGCAATGTTTATATAACATTGGCTCATTTTACCATCGGGTATGCATTGTATAATATCGAGATATGAAGCACATGGAAAGTTCAGAGAGAACTCAGACAAAGTCGCAAGACGATCGCCTATCTCCAGAAATTCCACACGAGAGCCGTGCAAATTTGCGAGTTCCCGCGCGAGTTTGTGAAGTTGAGGGTGGCGCAGTTTGATTAGCCTTAGCCTGCGAGGAATTTGAATTCCACCTCCAATTCCCCTGTGGCTCCCCGTCGACATGAGCTGTCAGATGTCCGCCAATATCAGCGCGAATTTCGCATCGACTTTTTGGAGCGCTAGGGCGCCCCGAAGAGTTTGGTCGAAGGCTACAATTTGCTCAAAAAATAGCACATTTGCCTATTTTGATGGAGACGCGTGGGCCCTGCGCTTGCGGTCTTCTACCCCGATTAGTTCTTATGCTAGCGACTCAAAACTTGTGCCGGTCAGTACATATACAGTGACAACATCATGGCTTTGTCATCGACTTTTAGCACTTCAACGAGCTGTCTCTTTCAGATTGAGTTTTTCGTTTTCTCGCCCATTCTTGCTGTAGGCTCCGTCTGGGTAACTTATCTCACGTGTATACGACTTTCCAAAGTTAAAAAAAGATTGTTCAAACTCATTAACTTTTCATTAGTATTAATTAATTAATTACTTAATATTAATTGATCAGTCAAAAGCTAATAAATGATGACCATCATCTGAGATCAAAAAGTTGCATTTGCATTTTGATTGTTTCATTTGAGAAGTCGGTACATATTTTACTCATAGAAAGAAATCCTTTTTAAACATTTTAAAAAACTGTGAATGTATTACCCGGATAGACTTTTCTTAAAACCTTTTAATTACTTAAGGATAGATAAGAATTGTGATTTACTTGATTTATAATAAAGAATTCACTTTTGTTTATTTCTAGTCTGTATCACATATGACAATTATTACTCACAACAATGTAAGCACAGTGCTAACGGCGAACTCCGAATGTCAACTAGACGTTTGCGTTTGCCGTTCCGTCCGCTGTGTGCTTGTTTAAGATTCCGGTCAACACGACAGAACTGAAAAAAATGTTAAAAGTACGCGACAAATTGTCTAAAATAATGGAAAGTAAGCTAACATTAACTGACTGTTAACCAAAATCTTCCATCAGGTTTCTTCATTTTTCTTTTAAACAAAGCAAAAGACCTATGATACCTGGCAAGTGTTCTCGGTCGCGGTTCACTGTAACTGGTCAAAATATGTAGAGAAAATGTCATCTTTTTACAAACAGTACGTGTAGAAAAGGAATAATAAACGATGGCTATGAAAACAAGCGATCAAAATGAAGAAGTAACTGGTACAAACGGTTTGGAAATACTCAAGTTTTCGCGTTTCTTCAATAGGGAAAAATGTCTTCCTCGCGTTGAAACGGTGGCCGGCAAGCGGCAAACGCGAGAAAAGTCAGGTCACGTGACCCTTGCTTTATCGCTCTTTAATTACAAATTAGATTTTATAAAATAAATAGGATAGTACGCGCCCTCTGATTAGCCGAAATGAGTGTTTGCATGAGGGTATGTAAACATGGTTGTGGCGTCAAGATGTTTTGCTTTTCGCGCGCTAATCACGCAAGCAGGAATTTGAAAACGTTTTCGAGTTCAAAACTCCACAAGTTTACTTTATTTACCCATTCCTTCGTCGGCTGAGACTTGGAAAATCGTTACAAAGAAGATGTGTGTATTTTCCTTTGCTTAAGCTGACATTTTAAACGAAAAAAATTCCTATTTTGGAAAGCATCGTTTTGCAAAACAAGAACTGATTACGGTCGCAAGACTTCGTTGACAAGACTGTGCGACTGGTAAGAATAGAGCCATTTATAGGAAAAATAAGACGCGTCTTATTTAAGACACATCATATTAATAAGACGCGAACTTTCCGTATAAACGGCACATTTCTTCTAAAATAAGACGCGACTTAGCTAAGACGCGTCTTATTCTAGAACAGCCCTTAACACCTGTTCTTACATAAGACGCGTCTTAGCTAAGACGAGAAAAACTTCGTATAAATGACCTTCGCGTCTTACATCATTCTCGTCCCCAGAGCCACTCGGCTTAATTTGTAACCGTGACAAAGAAACGACGGACTCTGGGGACGAGAATGGTCTTGCATAAGACGCAAACGCATAGTACGCATGCGTTAATTTTTGGCGGTAAAATTATCGCTTGCCCTGCGGTGGACTGGCAGGCCACTGGCGGGGAAAATTGTTTACAAATTACAACGCGTTTTCGTTTCCTTGTCTATTCTGCTCAAATACAATGAGCACGCCGTTCAAGGTAAAAAGAAACACTTGGTCCATCGCGGAGGAAAAAGATTTTTTGTTTTTATGTAAGGACAGGGCGATTTACAGACCTCCTTGTCAAATGCGTGACATCTGCTGGTGTAAGTAGACCCTTTTAACTTTAAACTATCACAATTTATAGCCCAACAACAGAGGATGATCGAAATTATTACTATTGCTCAATCCTTTGCTTCCGGGAAAGCGGCTGGATACGATAATATTCCAATGTCTATAATCAAGGAATCCATTCAAATCATTTCGGGACCTCTGGCTCACATTATGAACTTATCGATCGCTCATGGCGTTGTACCAGATCAAATGAAAATAGCTCTTGTGGTACCACTGTTTAAAGCTGATGACCAGTCACTATTCACCAACTATAGGCCTGTCTCGGTTCTACCAAGCTTTTCAAAATTTCTAGAGAGAATCATCTATAATCGCTTGTATGATTATTTAACTAATTTACATATTCTCTGTGATAACCAGTTCGGCTTCAGGAAAAACCACTCTACGACGCTTGCCTTGATTGATTTGCATGAGAAAAATTTATCTGCTATTGATCGTGGTGAATTAGCGGTTGGTGTTTTTTTAGATCTCTCTAAAGCTTTCGATACAGTCAATCATTCCATCTTATTTGGTAAACTTGAACACTATGGTATACGTGGCTTGGCTCTGAAATGGATTAAGAGCTATTTTTCCAACAGACTTCAATTTGTAGAATACAAATCTTGCGCTAATATCATGTGTGGCGTTCCCCAAGGTTCAGTACTAGGGCCTTTGTTTTTTTCTGCTCTACATCAACGATATAATAAACACGTCAACAATATTACAACTGATATTATTTGGCGATGATACAAACTTTTTTGTGTCTCGCAAGGATAAAGACTGCCTGACTAATATACTGAACGCTGAGCTAAATAAGTTGTCATTATGGTTTAGAGCTAACAGGCTTTCATTAAACTTGAAAAAAACCAAATTCATTGTATTTAAATCATGCCAAAAGCGTACAAATCAAACTATTCAACTTTTAATCAATAGTCCAAAAATTGATCAAGTAAAAGAAACAGTTTTCTTGGGAGTAATCATGGATGAAAATTTAAATTGGACATCTGAAATCTCACATGTCGCCAATAAAGTTTCTAAATGTACAGGAATTATTCGTAAATCCAGTTTCTATTTATCTACGAAAACCTTACGAACACTATATTTTTCTTTAGTCTATCCAAACTTTTTTTACTGCAACTTAGTTTGGGCCTCCACTTACAGAACTAACCTTATTCGTCTTGAGATTTTACAGAAACGGGTGATCAGAACTATAGCTAAATCCACTTTCGATGCACATACTGATCCAATCTTTCAAAATCTTGGTATCTTAAAATTTCATGATGATATATACTTAATACAACTTGGCTTATTCATGTACTCCTATCAAAACCATACTCTACCTTTAAAACTCCATTGTAAATTTACTTTGCAAAGTCAAATTCATTCGTATAATACAAGAAACTCGTGTAAATTTCGTCTGCCTTTCTCTCGTACTCGAACCAAACAATTTTCCGTTTTTTATCAAGGACCTAAATTTTACACTACCTTAAACACCAACATCATCAACGCTTCCTCACCTTTTTCCTTTAAAAGAGCACTTAAGGCATTTATTTGTAATAATTATTAGTATACTCCAACAGAAATCTTGCGAAAAAGCCTTCTAATATTCAACATTATTTGTAAACTTCCGTAATATTGATTAGTTTAATTTTCCACCTGATAATATTTTGTATCCGTCGCCGTAATTTTTATGCCACCTTCGAAAAATTGTAATTGAGGAGTCCTTATTAACATAAGCTCTATAGTTTCCTTTAGGCCTCCTCGCCATTTCTTCCTACATTTTTTTTGGCATTTCTTTGTAATTATTGTAATCGTGTGGCAAATAAATATATACAAATACAAATACAAATTTATATTTACTAATCTTCGTATTATAAACTTGCACGCTAAAAGTAAGTTTACGTGTACAGAAGACTTGGGTAAGATATGTTCGTATAAATGGTCCAGTGTAAGACGTGTCTTGTTTTTCCTCGTATAAATGGCCCTAATGTCTCTTTTAATCAGTACCATACAAAGAGTTTTGCGTTTTTCCTCGGGAAAGTTATTTTACAAAAGCAATAGAAAACGTTTTTCCTGTGTTTGCATAGCCTGATATAAACCCTCGAGCGTTGGGAGAATTCTCGACAGTTATGCAGACCCTCGATTTGCATAACTGTCTCGAATTCTCCCAGCCTCTCTTCTGTTTATATCAGGCTATGCAAACACAGAAAACGTTTTCTATTGCCTAAATAACATTGCTAGAATATTCGCCTGATGAAATTCAATAGCGCGAGCGTGCTTGATATTCCCATTGAGCACGGTGATGACGTCAATAAACTTACCTCGAGTTCCTGTGAGCTTAATAGCAATCCTCCCAAGACGTCTCCCAAGTGCATCCATAACTCAACAGGGCATGATGACGCGTTAACCATGTGTTTTATAACGTAAATTTAAGAGAAAACTTTTGAATTTGTTAACCGATAGTAGGGGAAAGAGGTGAGTGTTGTTGTTGTTAGCCTGCATGACAGGCGCTTTATTAGCCAAGCGGGGCGAACGCGATATTTGTCATCTGCGCGAGCTGTGCGGGCTATATATGGCGTGTGCAAATCATTCTTTGCAAAGTTGTTTCCTTCAAAACGAATTTTTCGGTGAATTAATAGTTTTCCGGCACCTCAGTCTGGAATTTGCAATCATTTTTAATGTTATCTTAAGCGACTTGAGTAAACTTTCTCTCAGTTTCTAGACAAAAGCATAACTACGAGGTAAAAAAGTATAGTCACGTAGGCATTGACGTGTATTGCTTTGAGCGCGCGCTACAATAAACATTTTAAGTTACTGCTGCATTGATCGTTTTGTTAATTAATGTTATAAAACAATTATTTCATGATTTAGCTGTGCGTATGTCAAGATATTGAGCACTTGGGAAGTTTGGAGAGCACTTAAGAGGCTGCGCCTCGATTTACTCTTACGCCTCTTTCGTGCTTTCCCACAGGCGGCCCAGACGTAGTATGTGTCACTGAATGAATATATTAATATTCACATGGACAAATTAATGCGAGGAGTCGTCGAAACTCCCATGAACTAAAATAGTCCAAAAGTCAAAATATATCAAAACAAAGCTAAGATACCTTCAACTGAACGTATCCTTGTCTTTCCTGGCCGGTTTAAGTGGCATTTTGTTGAGTTTTGCAATTGTAGGTACTATCTACTAAAGAAGAATTAAAGGCTGGCTACAAAACAAACGGACCATCTCCACGCGCCTTCACACGAAGCGCTATAAATTCGAGAATAATCGACGAATCCGCTCCAAATTGCCATCGGCTAACCTGCAGGTAACGTGTGCTCCTGCTTCTTGCTCGCTGGCTCCACAAAAACCATCGCAACTGCACAATAATTGCTCGCTCATCAACAACCACTGTTGACCTTTACGCTTCGATATGAGCGCAAACTACCAGGTTTAATACGCGACGTGAATATTCAAGCTTAGCGACCGCGTTCGCGCATTAATGCAGTACTTGCTATGCTGTGGCTTTCCAGACTTCCCGCATGCTTAATATCTCGACATACGCACGCTGACGTATGAACTAATTGTTAAATAAAATACTTTGTCANGTAGGTACTATCTACTAAAGAAGAATTAAAGGCTGGCTACAAAACAAACGGACCATCTCCACGCGCCTTCACACGAAGCGCTATAAATTCGAGAATAATCGACGAATCCGCTCCAAATTGCCATCGGCTAACCTGCAGGTAACGTGTGCTCCTGCTTCTTGCTCGCTGGCTCCACAAAAACCATCGCAACTGCACAATAATTGCTCGCTCATCAACAACCACTGTTGACCTTTACCCTTCGATATGAGCGCAAACTACCAGGTTTAATACGCGACGTGAATATTCAAGCTTAGCGACCGCGTTCGCGCATTAATGCAGTACTTGCTATGCTGTGGCTTTCCAGACTTCCCGCATGCTTAATATCTCGACATACGCACGCTGACGTATGAACTAATTGTTAAATAAAATACTTTGTCAAATTATATTGTGTACAAGTCGTCTTATTTACAATTGGGGAAAAAAGGATATTAAAAAAAAAAGAACAGAAAAAAAGTGTCGAAAAGAGTAATGGCAGGCAGTTTAACTTTTGGTGTTTAAGAAAAACACTGGCCATGTTTTACTTTTTAAATTCCAGAGGAAAAAACCTAATAGTGCAAAAGAGGTCTTCGTCGACAAGTAAAAAAAAAAGCGTGTCGTATAGGGGATTGGTGTTACATTAATTGTTTTGTGTCAAGATGCTTTTTGCGTGATTGGCAGCTCGGGAAGACGGAGTCCACCAGAAAATTTAGTAAGTTCAATTTTCAGTGGACAAAAACCTTGTACCAGAATAATTTAAACAATATCGGTTTCTTTTTTACATTTTTCAAACGCTAAAGATGTAATTAGTCGTCTGTAATAACATCAAAGAAAGTTTCTTATGGGGGCCCCAGAAAATAAATGTCAAATTTCGTAAAATGATATGTTACACATGAAATTTTCAGAATTTAACCTGTAGGTCTAGATCGCAGCAACAATATAGATATATAGCCGCATAAATTTTACCTGTTTTCACAATTCTTGTGAAATTTGACATTCATTTTCTCGGATTCCCATGAGAAATTTTCTTTGGTGTTATTTCAGACGACTAATTACATCTTTAGCCCTTTAAAAATGCAAAAAAAGGTGCAATATTGTTTAAATTATTCTGGTACAAAGTTTTTGTCCACTGAAAATTAAAATTACTCAATTTCCTGATGGATTCTGTCTAAATGTCTTTCTTTGCTCGGTGATAAAATTCTCGCCACACGGTAGTTTTTGACCGCTGTTGGCGGCCCCACACTGAAAACTAGTTTTGCCATCGTTTTTAGGGACCAGCCTGTGTTTCAGCTGTGTAATTATAGGATAGAAGAAGAACTGTAGCTTATGAAAACCGTGTCTGTAAACGCTGCCAGGTTAAAAGGAAAATTTATGTTAATCCTATCTACTCCAAGCCAAACAGCTGGCGAGAAATGAGGACGGTTTGTCGACGTAATTCAACATACACGTTCAACATACAAGTACAAATGAGTGAATAACTAAAAAAGTAGCGGCTTTCACTGAGGCTTAGCTAAAGGAATTGCAGGTATTGTTTTTCAAGGTCTCTATAATTATTTCCATGAGTGCTGCGGTCTCCTCGCAGAAGACTGTATTGCATATAGGAGGCTTTATTGAAGTAAATACCTCGGACAAAGGATGGAATAGCGCTGGCGTACAGCCTGCTATTGACCTAGCAATAAAGCAGATCAACAACAGGACAGATATTTTACCAAATCATACCATTCAGATACATTGGAAGGATACAAAGGTAAGCCTATTTCGGCTAAATATCTAACAGAAAAAACAAGGTAAAAAAGAAAACAATTGAAAACAAAGTGTCAAACAGGAAGATGTGAGATCGAGTAATTTGTTTCACCTTATTGAGTTATAAGTTGTGCCAAGTATCATAGCTTCCATACTTTCCTCTAACGATTTGGAATGTTTCAATTTTTCAAGAACTTAAATATCATAACAGGGCCGTTGCCGTAACCGTAATATGGAGCTTAAGCAACAACTACGGGGACAGCCAACGAAAACGTCACTTAAAAAGTAAATTTCGCGCTGCCTCAAACTTTAAAGGGCTTATTCCATCTCGTTTAATTCGTCAAATGTTGGCGAATTTTTTTGGAGTTGAATTCTAAAGGACTGTATCAAAGTTCAAGAAAAGAAAAAGAAAGTTGCTGTCTTGTGTTCCCGTCCTCGACAAAACGTGAAATTAGGCACTTTCATGTTGTAGTTGTGCAACGACGGCAAAAAAATGTACAAAAAAAAAAACGTGTTGCACGTCAGTGCAAAGTTGTTGTTTTGCTAATATCCTTTTGCTTTGTTGCCGTTCTTGTTGCCGTCGCCATCGTCGTTGCTTAAGCTCCCCAACTGTAAGGTAAACTCTAGAAATTAATTAACAGTTAATGAATGAGGCTGAGTATCTTATGAAGAATTATGGAGATCGAGGAGGGTGTTATTCGACGAGGCCGTAGGCCGAGGCGGATAACACCCTCCAAGATCTCCATAATTCTTCATATGATACGAAAGCCGAATTCAATAACTGTTTTATTATTCATTCAAAATAATTCCTAGTTTAAAAACATAGCTAAAACATGCTTACCTCCATCGATCCATCGATGTTCAGTTCATCTTCGATAGTGTACTTTTAGGTTTGTCCAACTCCGCAAATATTCTCCAAATAGCAGATGTCGCCCCTCGAGTTGTCTTCTTGCTGTTCTTGCCATGTTTTTAGCTATTTTTTCGCCTGGTTCTTACTCTTGAAACGAGTGAAATGTCCGTCATTTTTTCAAGTTCACAACCAAAACAACTCAACCTCGTGCCCAGGTCTTCTCGGTTAACGGTGCCTTAACCTGCGAAAACGCTGCATTTTTGACGTCATTTCCTCGTTAAAGTCAAAATTCCTCCAAATTTGGTCATCAGTAACTGGTTATGGTGAATTAAACGTGTGCTTTTAGCCAATCAGAATCGGGGAAATATTTTGAATGAATAATAAAAGCTTTTAACCCTCGGTTGCGTCTCTACTGGTTGAAGACATGTCATGGCTCGTGCCGCTATATCCAGGAACACAATCTTTGGCTGACACGCTCGGCAAGTCTGTTTCGAGTTAATTCACGGGATTATACGTCAGTGTCTTGTTTCAATACGTAGTTCACTCACCCTTTCTTTAAAATTACAAACCTTTATTAACTCAGAATTTTTTGGCCAGGGTAATGAAAGAGAGCTTCCTTCTAACTTGACGAATGCAAGGATTATTCAATCAACACCTCACTTTTTGTCTTTCGTTTTTTTTTTCTCGTTTTAATTTTTGGGAGTGAGATAAATTACTGCTCCAAGAGCTCTCATGTTTTGCACAAGACGAAATTTCAATCATGATGATGCATATTTATGAAAAGGAATGTACAGATCGTTTTTGCTCGGATCAGGAACCAAACTGAACGAAGTTTTATTTTCATAATTTGAGTATTAAAAATCGATAGGATAGGATCTGGATGGGAACGGAAATAAATGAAAGTGGCTAAAACCGGGTGTGAACGGTCGATTTTTATTTGAATACGTAATGATCTACCATTTTGCATGTAAATAATTTTGGGGAGAGATTGATGGCGAAAGTTCATTAAAAATATCGGACAAGAATCAGACATGTAAAACCTTAATTATGGCCACGACTTTATCTATTTTTACGTGGGATTAGTGAATAGGTTCCAGTAATCCATGAAAGTAGACTTGAGTAAACGAGTACCGTACTTCGAGACAGTGACTTTGCCACACATGTTATTAGATCTGTTATAAAATAGCCAAAAAGCTGCTAGCAAAAAAAAATTGCTAGTAAGCAGCTGGATAACTTGAGGCAAAAGAGGAAATTAAACCGGCTTAAAATAGCTAATGATTGATAAGGTCGGTTATTATAGTTTGCAAAGTATCTCTACTTCATTTGTACTGTCGAACTTTGAAGTGATAATTTCGCTTTGTAGTAGCCCTGTCGTAATTTGTAATAAACCGCATCCCACTTTGTATGATGGCGCTTACCATATTTTATTCGGAAGATGCGAGCAATATGCCACCGATTCGATGGTATATTTGGAAAGGAGGTTGATCAATGCCGTATTTGATTGAAAACTAAAATTGTAGGCTGCTTGGGCCACACTGAACTAAAACTGAAATGGTGTACACTGTTACTCGATGACGAAATAACTGAATTTCTGACTTTAACTGATTGTAAAAAACGAAAGAATAAGTAAAACATCTAGCTCGATGGATGTTAACCTACTTTGTACTCGTTGCCGGTGCCCGAGTACAAGGTCGAGTCCTTGTACTTGGGAACAAAAGTGGGCATCGGGTCCCTGTGCGCACATCGTTTTTGTTAGTTAATTCTAAGGATGTCCTCTGCTTTGTACTCGATGCTAAGATCATGTATCAAAATGGCGTCTGGCAAGGCGAAATGTAGCAACTATGTACAAAGTCACATATATGTTAGTCAAGGTGTGAACGCAACACCATTTGAGCCGTTAGCCAGGCATTGATTTCCGGGAACCAAGAGGAAAAGCCCCAATTTTAGTCACCTGGTTTGAAACCCGGCAAATCTCAGGCTCTCCTCTGGTCCAGATATCAGTTCTAGGTGATTCTATTGAAATGCCTTCATACGTATCCTTGCTAACTGTTTATTAAATCATCCACCCAAATTGCGACAGTTTTTTTTAATACAAAATGATACATGTTTTACTAAAATTTGTCGACCTGGTGTTTCAAAGTGCGATGGATGTGCGGTGGATTTGGTATTACAAAGTGCGATGATTATTAGAAATTGCGACATTACAGCTTTTGGAACCAATTTTTTCACACAGTTGTTTCGCCGAAGTCGTCTTCTACTTTGTCATTTTGCTTTGTCCAGGGGCATTATTTTGGTAGCGACACCTTCCATTTTTGAATCTCTCATACTTGGACAGATTTATCTTTATTGTAAAACCATTTTAACACATGTATTACACATAGATGAAAATTTGTTATAACTTTATTTTTTGGACAATTACGTCACAATAGTTTTGGTTCTAAATCGAATTTCAGCTCTTATCGTCATCTTCTTTGAAAATACATTACAGGACGTGTACTTTGGGTGTTTGTCTTCTGCTGTACGAAGTTTCACAGAAATGTATAAAAGAAATTTCGAGATATCTTGGCATTTCTATAAAAAGGGTAAGAAATGTGCTTGAACTGAAGACAGGACTTACTGCCTAGGAATTTGCATAATTTCTACCCAATTTGTAGAAATTCAAATATTTGTCGTAATTTCTCTTATATATTTTAGTGAAACTTCGCACAGCAGAAGACAAGCAACCAAAGTACACGTACCTTAATGCATTTCCAAAGAAAATGCCGATAAGGGCTGAAATTCTATTTAGAGCCAAAACTAATGTGACATCATTATCACGTGATATTTATTCCGATACCCCCGAAAAATGATATCATGATATATTTTCATCTATGTGTATTGTGTTAAAACGGTTTTACAATAAAGATCAATTTGTTTTAGTATCATGAGAGATTCAAAAATGGAAGGTGTACCTCATACAGGTTTTTCATGAATCGGTGTCTGATCTCACCTCACTCTCACAAGTATTGACAAAAAGCTTAGAGCAGTGGTGGCCGAAAGGTATAGGATTGCAATTAATTATTAGTAGGTTCTTGATTTAAAACTTGGCCATTAGAATTGTACAGCGCTTAGAGACGTTATTATAATCGTTATATATAAGCATTGTATTAGTATATAATATTTGTATTAGTGTTCAGATGCCTACGCCATCAAAGCCCTCGTTGAGCAGCTACGGAAACCACCGACCAAAGTAGCATTGATAGGTCCCGGATGTTCTATCTCAGCTGTGCTTGTGGCGGCTGCCTCACACTTTTGGAACTTGATTCAGGTTTGTCACTAGTCTCCTTTGTAGCCGTTTTTGTCTCGTCACGCAACGTTCCTCCTTCGCCTTGCGTGACGAGGCAAAAACGGCTGCGAGGGAGACTAGGTTTGTCACATGCAATAGCCTTTTACTGGTGTCAATTTTTGATTACTGTCAATTTGTTGAGACTTTTGATCAAGCTGGTTTCAGACGGCTACAACACCCAATGAAGAGATTTGGCCAAGAGCCATGAGTATAGTAAGCAGTGTAAGGAGCAGACCCAGTTAACAAGGAAAGTTTCCATTTTTAGGAGGTGGCTTGGTCGGGGCATTGTAGTCTTGGGTAAATCACTTTATAAAGGGGAAAGGTTCGCGTAGGGGTAAAAGTAGGGAACTTAAGCACCAGATGTTCTTGATTCACGAACGGCATGGCTGGCCGCGCACAACTGGATCGGGGACGCGGTTTACGCGCCAAATGCAAATCATTAAGCAAACCAACGTGAAACCTTCACGAATGCCGACAGAATAATTCAGTTGAAAATGTCTACGTCTACCACGCTTTTAAAGTTCTTACATGACAAAAGAACCTACAAGGATTGAAAACTGTTATAATGGACATCAAATGTAAACAATTTTAACTGTCTTCATACTCACGCTTCTGAACCTCTGGTTTCAACCTGAGAACTCGCGTTTTGAAGTCCGTGACCGCAGCCCAAGAACTTCTTGACATGCGCAGTAGCTGTCATGCTGCAATAATACTTCCGGTTGGCGTCCGCGGTACCAAGAACGTCTGGTGCTTAAGTTCCCTTGTGAGAACAGTCACGACCTCCAGCAAATGTTCTCCATTGTTTTCCCTTTGGCTCAGCAAGGTACACTGTCCTATTTCCAAATTCGCTCTGGACAGCACGTGTTTTTTGACAAGGAGACGAGGCCAACCGCTTAACTTTTTTACGCAATTATCTAAACTAAGGCCTGTTTCAAACGTCGTGCTACAGCCCTGCTAAGCTGGCTCGACTGGTGTGCAGCTCTACTGCAGCACAACATTAGCACGACTTGGTTTTAGACGTCGAAATTAATTCAGTCGACTAGATTGGCTGTTGCCGAAAACAAAACACAAAAATAAAGAAACGGTTTAGCAAACTTTTAAATATTTTTCTAATGTATTTATAATTGATGAATTGGGCTCGGCACGGCGGTAACACGACTTGGTTTCAAACGTCGCAATACTGCCGTCTAAAGTCGAATTTAATTCGACCGATTGAGTTCGGCACGGCAGTAGACCGACGTTTGAAACGAGCCTAAGACCGGTTTTTAAACATACTCATCATATTTTTGTTTATTTTGTTTTTAAGGTGTTTCGATACAGTTTTTCGGAGACCATACCGGTATTTTTCGATAGCCTTTAATGTGATTTTATTCTTGTCCCATCGGTATATCCTCATGACGTATATAACAATGTGTGAAATCTTCATTAAGATTGATTCACTGCAACATCTTGAAGTTTCAAGAAGAACCCAGCCTACGAACCCAAAAATCCTGTTAGTGCTAATATTTCAAATTCAAAATTATTCCAAATTAATGTGCCCCATGCCTTCCTCCATGACTATAGTACATTTCGGTATGAAGTTTATTGCATCTTTTGAGTGTAGAACATTACTCTAGACTAGACCTTCAAGTATAATCCAAGTGTACTTCGAACCTACTTTGAGCGTTAAGTGGTAAAATTTACCTACTTCAACTTTACTTGGTAACCATGGAAACGTTCGTAGTTCAAAGACGCCGATGTTCGCCGCCAAGTGTGAGTTACACTACACTTGAGAACACACTTGACCAATAGGAAATGGAAGCTATGTGCACGTGCAGCGGTACAAAGATTCTAATGAACGGAGAGATTGACCGCTTTTACTTCAAGTAATACACTCTGTCAAGAGGTGTGAAGCCATGTTTTCTACAGAGCAATTTAAGATTTTCAAGTGCACTTGCTTACTTACTTTTCACGGATGTTATTTTTGCTTAATACCTCACTTTCAGTTCCTGGTGTCGGATTTTCAGTATCAGGTCTATCGTTATGCAAAGGTTTTTGTTGATTGTTGTCATAATAATGTCGATTTTACTTAAAACTGCATTTTGACAAACTTAAATCCAAAGTCAGTCAGTGGTTAAATTGTTTTTATACCGATCCGACAAGGACAAAATCACTTTTAAGGCGATTTAAAAAAATCGGTATGGCCTCTGAAGAACTGTGTGGAAACACCTTAAAAGACCTTGTTTGATTGTCCACTAAGACCTTTTTTGATATAAATCAAGGTAGGACTAGCCTGTTCCAGGCTCCAAGATGGTCGGGTCCGCGGGGATTGAGAAAGCGCGAACATGAAGAAACAACGCCCCGCCCCCGTTTTCGCGTACCTTTCACTTTCGCGTCTTCCCCTCTCTTTCGCACCAAACCCCACTATCTTAGAGCCTAGAACAGCTGAGGTAGGACTTACAATGCCATAGGGTTAATTAGTGAAAAACTAAGGGAAAATACTTAAAACATACATTACACCAAATTCATTGTCATTTCAGTTGGGATTCAGTGCCGGCTCTTCTAGTCTCTCTGATAAACGTCGATATCCGTTATTCTTCCGGGTTAACGGCCCAGAATCCACTCTGTACAAAGCTGCTGTTTCACTTATGCACAGATTCAACTGGAAGCGAATTGCAATTGTAAAACAGGACGAGGATCTCTTCAACGACGTAAGTTGACACGCAGTCTCTGTAATATCTCATCTTCCCTATTCTAGACGTTTTGAGACTGGGCAATAGGCTGATGTAGCAGCAGAACGGGAACGTCAGTTGAAGACGGCGCGCGCAAATCAAACAACTGGGTTGACCAATGGCAGAGCGGCCAATTGGGCACCGGAAGTCGAGTTTAATCCTTTCCGCGCGCTTTCCCGTCGTCAAATGACGTTCACGTCCTGTTGCTAAATCAGCCTAATAAGATAAAAAACTACACATGCTAGGCCACTACTCATAGAGAGTAAAAGAAACAAAAAAGTCGTCTAGATTTTACTTGTTTATGACTGACTCGGCGCCAATATTTTACATTGATTGTAGAGTAACGAGAAATCCACTTTGTTCTCTGTTTTATATCAGGTGAACGAGCGTCTCCAGACACTGTTAAAAGAAGAAGGGATATCCGTCATTGCTACAAACAGCTTTGTCAAGGATCCAGTTAACGTCATAACTGATCTTAAGGTATCAAAAGTACGAGGGTGGATCGGAAGTTCCGTCTTTAAACCGTCCTATATTTCTCATGATTCGCCTGTCATTTTAAAAATTACAGTCACATTCTCTCAAACTAGCTTTCTTCTACTTCTATACATCATTGCAGTCTCATCTCAGTTTCTAAAAGCATTTACCGCTGGCAGTCTTGAGCAGGGATGGTCATGGACAGTTTTGGCAAGGTGTCGGGTCCTTGAAAAAAATATTTAAAGACGGTTTTGATTTCTGGAAACGAGGCGTAAATGTCAAGTAGCAAATTCAAGGAGAGTGAAAATGGTGAATTTTCTATCAAATGGATACCATTGTGAGCACAGTAGTCCTTTTTAGGTGTCCTTTGTGAGGAGCCACATTGTGGCCGATCTGGATGCAATGGATGCTAGACCCGAGTTCAAGTTAATTTTTTGACTTGAAGGAGAATACGTAGGAGAATCTTTGGAAAAACTGAAGTTGTGTAATATGTGGCAGGGAGTGTTGCTTTTTTAACAACAGGCCCTTGAGAATTGAAGAAAGGGACGAAAATTTTCGTTCTTGAACAGAAGGCTGTTAAGACTATAAACCGGACCGCTCGACGTATGTTTCATCTTCGGCCAGCAACACCATACTAAACAAACGCTCATCTTTAATAGTGGAGAAAGAAATCTAACACACTTAACAACTATAAAAGCTAATTTTTTTAGTTTTTTGTTTGACGCTACCAGCAGGACGCTGGGTAGATATATTGTGAATCAATGAAGAACGCCATAAAATTGCTGACAGCATTTGTTACCCCTTTTTGTGAGTTTTACTAGCCTGAAAGATCTAACAATGGCTCTCCTGTAGGGGAGCGAGCATAAGCTTGCGGTGTAGCCGTGAGAAGGTTTTGACGCGCTGAGATCATCATTGTATTTTCCAGCCGAAAGCTAGAGCAAAATGTTACGCGAAACACCACTTGGCGCTGAGCAGAAAAAAGTTCCTTCTACTTAAAGAAAACTTCTTTTTCAAGACACGATGAGTTAGAATCTATTAATTACTTCGTCCTTTTTTTGAGAACAAAGAAGTTGCAAACTTACCCATGTTTTCTCTCACAGTATAGAAGAGCTCGTATTGTTGTCATCTTGATGTACGAGGACAAATCGAGAATGGTCATGTGTGAGGTATATAATGCTATTATAATGAACTGAACGTAAAGCACGGCGGTCAAAGCGTTTTGTTAAAGACTGAATTCAGTCGGTAGAGCTCGTGACAGAATGGGAGGTTGAGGGTTCGATTCCCTGGGCCGGGCCATTACTGATGGTTTTTTAAATAACGGAGAAATGAAGGTACTTCCTTTGCCCTACAAACGGCTGGACCTTCGCGTGGCTCGGATGATCACGTAAAATGGTGGTCCCGTCCCCACTGAAGGAGAGTCTTCAATTAGTGCCAAACACATTGACACTCAAGTAAAATGCATTTTTTTGTCCTATTTTTTGATAGAATAAATATGGCGCATGTACATTGTACATGGTCCTCTAGAAAACATGGTTTACTTTTTTTTTATCGTAATTATCATATTTTTTTAGCGTAGTTCGGCTATGTAAAGAATCTGACTAGCTGATCTAAGAGGTTGTTATCCAGAAGGCAGTTATCCAGAAGAGATAGTGTCTTCAGTAATAACAATACAGAATACAGAATAATGCATGGGATAGAAAGGGAATCTTAGGGCCTCGGCCGGGATATGTGAATTTCACTGAAGCCTTTTTTAGAGGTTGTACTGATTAAACGGAAGTACAATTCCTGGGTCGTCCGCATATTTTAACAGTTTGTTTGAAACTTATCAAGATCACGCGCGACTGCCTCAAAGCAAAAAAATGAATAATACTGTAATGGCGGCACACCAAGGGGGACAAATAAACATATCACATAAACATCGCATAAACTTTGTCTGTAAACAAATCGCTAAATCAATCGGTATTTTATCCAGAACAGCTAGTAATTATCACGTGCATTCCTGTTGTAGTCGAACTTCAAGAAACTCACAATTCTTTACCAAGGACCTAGAACCTGGAACTGTCTTCTGAATCTGTTACAAACTTGTCAAGCTTTTCTATCTCTAAGAACAAAGTGCTAGGCTTTTTATTAAAATAGTTACTAAATTAGTTTAGCCGCACTTCTTCGCAGCCCTTATTTCTTATAATATTGTGATGTTGAGGTGGCCTCTCTTTATACGCCTGGGGGTTTCTTGAGGTCTCCTCGCCTAACAACCTGCTGTATCCTGTAAAATTTGCTGTAAAAAAAGGCTAATAAAAAAATGATGATGATGATAGTGTCCCTCATTATTTTATCTTGACAAGACTTAATGAAAGTTTGCCGACCTCTCCGGACACCAACTTCCGATTAATCGATCTAAAAATTATTTTGGTGAAATTCACATATCCCTCTGTGTCCCATAAATAGATCATCTCCTCGGGATAACTGTTTAGAGGTTTTAACTGAAAGGGCCTTTGTACATTTTGTTGTGTGGCAACCAATACATTTTGGTTTTGTCTAAAAGGCTTTTCGTCACAATTTTTTCGGATCTCATATTCAATGGATCATCCCTGGATGGTACAGTAAAGACTGGTGGAAAGTTAGAGATCCCTCAAACTGCTCGGTGGAGAAAATTGTGGCGAGAAACTTTCTTGCAGTTCAAGAAGGTTACAAAAAAAATAACGCAGTTAACACCCTCAGTGGCCTGGTAAGACCTTTTTAATTTTTACCACCATACATGTGATTACAGCAGCTGTCACCCGCGATTAAGGTTTCCACCTCCGATCTTCAACTAAGCAATGAGCTACACATGTACAAGCTGTCATCCACTAGTCTCATTTATTCTGTTTAATAAGCAGCAATTGGAATTTGTTATGCAAGTTTCCGAAAGAGATTTACGCGGTCTATGCGAACGTTTCTCATCAATTTCTAGTGTCTTCTAACATTTAAAGGTTTGAAAGGTTCCCGACACTTTGTCGGCAGTTTTTTGGTATTTAAGGCATATTCTTCAAGGTTTGAAGAAAGGCCACTCCAAAAAAAACAAAAAACAAAAACAAAACAAAATAAAACAAAACAAAACAAAACAAACAAACAAACGATGATAACGATAAATTAAAAATTGTGAGCTGTCTATTTCCCTACTGGTGAAAGACACGCACTGCCCCATCTATGAATGGAAGAGACGAATGTAGGATCGTAAAGTGGGAATCCTCTTGCTACGGCAAGTCCCTATGACATGAATGAGTACAAGTTATGATTCCTTTAATTTTCGTATCATTCGTTCACTTTAGACAGAAGACGAGTTTTTAACGATGTATAAAGCAGAGCTTCAAAATTACTCCTTCCCCAACAACTTCTATGCTGTCTTTGGATATGACTCGGCCTGGGTACTAGCCTCGGCTCTGGAGAAAACTGTGATGCAGCTAAAAGAAAAGAACATGTCTCTTGATAACTTCTCGTACAAGAGTGCTAGCATTAAACAGGAATTACGCAGTGTGCTCTCACGAACAAACTTGAATGGAATCTCGGTACGCATGGCTTTGTTTATGTTTCTCTAATATATCTGTGATATTCCTTAGATCCTAAGACCAATAATTCAAGGGCGAAAAATTCGCCTTTTTTAGTAAGGAATGTGGTTTTGTACGTGTCGTTCTCCTATTTTGTCTGTTCTTTAATATCTGAAATGCCGGTTTTGAGTGGGAATTTTTCGGGGTAAAAGACCTATTAAACAAGCATTAACTTTGGAACGCCATTGCTATTTGCTAAAGATTCCGCTATGGAATCGAAAGCTTGTGTATAATAAGTATTTCCAACCTGGGAATTGAATTTTCCTTTACTCTTCATATCATTATGATAAGATTAAGTAACTCTTTCTTCGCTAATAACATTCCCTTTTGTTTGCTCATAAGCAACCAAACAGAAATGTTTTTAAACTGACTAAAAGCCTCAGCGGCCAAATTCATAGTTATTAAATAAATGTCATTATTCACCTTGAAAAAAAATACAAGGTATGCACTGTCCCTATCTTCATGGACTGTTTTCATGTCTTATTTATGCCAAGTTCTATAGTAAGCATTCTGAACCATTCCAAGCAACCATCATTACTTGTTAAGTTTATGGTCACAGCGTTAACCAGTTGGTTTGGTTTCAGGGTTTCATAAAGTTCAATGAAAACCAAGAAAGAATTAACATGATTTGGATTAAACAGTTTCAAGGTAACTTAAGCCTTCAATAAAGAACTTTAGACTGTAAAAATCACACTTAACAAATTAAGTCATTTGTTTGAAAACTCAAGTAAATTTAGTAAATTAAGTCATTTGTTTGAAAAATCAATGAAATTTAGACCTCTGCTGCTGATAAATTAAAGTAAGTAACTTATTATAACTTTTTTAGGAGATAAAGAAGTCAAAGTGGGTTACTTTGATCCCGAAAGTCACAACTTAAGTAAGGGAGAACTCACCATCTTCCCTAAAAAGAACTTCAAATGGCCAGGTATGGCGGAGTAACGTCAACTTTGTGATCAATATAACATAACATAACATAACATATAACGGTCTGAAGTTTTTCTTCAGCATTATACGCCATAAGTAATATTTTTGTCAGTGCTGGATGTTATTTCGAAATCAGTCTGCGGGATATGTTTTTTTTTCTAAAATCACCCATAACCCCCTCAAAAGTCAAACGGTCGGCCGCTAAAATCCACCAAACATTCTCCCCAATTAGTAAGGCACTGTGGCTGAGCTATAAGACATGAGACTTTGATAAAGTTCATTATTATTATTATTACTCAGTAAATAGACTCTGATCTGTCAATCATTTCTAAAGCCTTTTGAAACAATAGGGACCAAAACTCTCTTGGGGAGAGGGGATGAATTTGTTTGTTCCCTACCCGGGAAGAACGTACGTACGTACAGACGGACGTTCGGTGACGTCATAACCAAATTTTCTTGCATCGATAGTTTTCCATTTTCTCTTAGTTATGGAGGCTCCGCTAAAAAAGCCATCGCGTCATTTATCCATTGGATAGAGATTTATTCAATGGAAAGCGTTATTATCCACCCGTGGAATAATTGGGGCCTGTGGGAACTCAGGAACATCTAGGTCGCCTTCACGCCTTTAGTCGAAATTTTGTTTCGGAAAATAGGAAATCTTAGTTTAGGCCTGTCTTGTGTTCAAGGTTCAATTCTGTCCATACATTGTGTTCCAGACTGGTGCAAACATGCACCCCAAGTTCAATTTAAGGATTTTAAGGGCTTAGTCCTAGACACATCTACTGTGTCTATGTATCCCGGATACCACTAAATTTTATTAAGATAACTATTGATCGACCACTTGCGTCGTGAAGGCGAAGCCATACTTCTTTGTGATAACTTACAAAATAAGTTAGGTCATTTCCGTACTGAAAATACCGCGCTCCTACTAGATGACTATTATAATGGCCTGATACGATCTTACTTGTTATAACAATGAAAGTGAGAATATAACAATGATTATTACTTCGAGGATGCTGCTGATGATTTGCGAATAAACAATAGTAACATTTTGTTGTGAAAACTCAATTAATATCTTCTTCAGATGGAAAACCTCCCAAAGACAAGGATCCTTTAAACGAACGTTTAATCAAGACAAACTTGAAGCTGTTTTATGTGATGAGTTCCGTGGCTGCAACAGGGCTGCTCACAGCTTTTGGACTACTTTTTGTCAACTATCACTTCAGGCTTCACAGGTAACTACATTCTTGAAGAAGCAAAGATCGTGATTGGAAGTACTTAACGTGCCTGATGACATTTACAAATGTTCAAAGAAGATATAATAAACAAGTAATTCCTTGTAACGTAGAGGGGCTTGTCCTCTCCCGTCTCCTTCATCAATAGCCTACAAATACAGCCGTCTCTCCCTCGCTGTCTTCAGCTAGCCGAGTGGCGAGTAGCAAAAAATAGATGGCTGTATTTGCAGGCTTCTATATCATCTTTCTTCAGTCCTTTTCTGTTTTCCAAAAACGCATGTTATAATATCATGTTTATCTTAATTTGTATTTGTATTTTATTTTTACTCCATCCTATAGATAATACATTAGTTGTACGATATTAATTAGTACAAGGTTGTTAAACTACGTGTACATAAGGAAGAAAAAATAGAAAAAAAAAATAGAATGGAGAAGGGCACATTATAGTAAAACTAATTATGGCCCTTTAACAAAATTGACTTTATTCTATTATAGCTTTGTTATTCATTAAAACACAAACACGCGAGCACGCACACACACACGCACATAAGTCAATATTGAGCAAGATAATATTTTTTAAGTGCCATTTTGAACAGGATTTTCGTTGATTTGTTGTGAATAGAAAGGGGGAGATCGTTCCAATAGTATTTTCCAATAACGGTTGGACAAAACTTTCGAATATTAATTCTTGAGTATCTGAAGATTCTTATCTCGTTTAATTTTTCCCCACTGCTGCTAGATATAGATTATACAGACTACAGCAAGAGCTTTTTTATCTTGTTTTTAGTTTGTAAAATTAAGTTTGCTGAGTCTTCTCAGTTATTAGTATAGGCGACTTTTCGTGTGTTCGGGGTTGGGATTCGCTCCACTATTTTAGACAAGAAAGTGAAGACGGTGGTACCCGCTATAGCGGTCACCCTACGTAAAGTGCACTTTTCAAACCGGTACAGCTATACCGATTTTCTTTCAATACAAAAACTCTTCTCGAACTGTGGTGAGGGTTCTTTTTCTTTTACGTCCCTCAAGAACCAGACAAGTGAAAGTGCTGTGAGACGGGACCTAAGGTTTTTAGTCATTGTCTGAGAAGACGAGAAAGTCTAACTAAAAACATTTTGCAGATGTCACTCCCAAAGGCAGCACTTTCTTCTCAGTTATTTAAAGACCCTGAGTGTCGGTCCGAACGGGGTTTGAATCCGCGACCTCTCGTTCAGCGTACCGGTGCTGTCCCAACTGCTTAATGCTTAATGAGTATTTCTATGATCCTGCATGAAGCGGCTATCTCTACCAGGTGGCCAACAGTTCATAAGCCCAGAAGGTAGCTGCTATGAACAGGTGTCACTGCAGTTGTAGTCTGTCATCATGGGATAACAGTTGATGACAGCATTACCGTATTTTTACTCGATTGAGTGACCGGGGCGCCTATCAAAAGTTTTTGGATGTAGAAAGTAGGTGGTTATTCGAGGTTGGCCCCCTATTTTCAATAAGTAGTAAGTCTATTCGGCAACAAACAATAAATAATGACAAAACGTGGCGATGTACCAAGGCAGAATTGTAACCGTCCATGAAAAGTTTCTTTAAAATACTAAGAAAACTCGGTATTCGGGGAAATTGATCAGTACTACTTAATCAATTTCATTGTCCTTGTCAGTAAGGTCATGTTTGGGGGGTCGGGCGGGGTTAGGTAGATATGTTTTTTTTTCTAAAATCACCCATAACCCCCTCAAAAGTCAAACGGTCGGCCGCTAAAATCCACCAAACATTCTCCCCAATTAGTAAGGCACTGTGGCTGAGCTATAAGACATGAGACTTTGATAAAGTTCATTATTATTATTATTACTCAGTAAATAGACTCTGATCTGTCAATCATTTCTAAAGCCTTTTGAAACAATAGGGACCAAAACTCTCTTGGGGAGAGGGGATGAATTTGTTTGTTCCCTACCCGGGAAGAACGTACGTACGTACAGACGGACGTTCGGTGACGTCATAACCAAATTTTCTTGCATCGATAGTTTTCCATTTTCTCTTAGTTATGGAGGCTCCGCTAAAAAAGCCATCGCGTCATTTATCCATTGGATAGAGATTTATTCAATGGAAAGCGTTATTATCCACCCGTGGAATAATTGGGGCCTGTGGGAACTCAGGAACATCTAGGTCGCCTTCACGCCTTTAGTCGAAATTTTGTTTCGGAAAATAGGAAATCTTAGTTTAGGCCTGTCTTGTGTTCAAGGTTCAATTCTGTCCATACATTGTGTTCCAGACTGGTGCAAACATGCACCCCAAGTTCAATTTAAGGATTTTAAGGGCTTAGTCCTAGACACATCTACTGTGTCTATGTATCCCGGATACCACTAAATTTTATTAAGATAACTATTGATCGACCACTTGCGTCGTGAAGGCGAAGCCATACTTCTTTGTGATAACTTACAAAATAAGTTAGGTCATTTCCGTACTGAAAATACCGCGCTCCTACTAGATGACTATTATAATGGCCTGATACGATCTTACTTGTTATAACAATGAAAGTGAGAATATAACAATGATTATTACTTCGAGGATGCTGCTGATGATTTGCGAATAAACAATAGTAACATTTTGTTGTGAAAACTCAATTAATATCTTCTTCAGATGGAAAACCTCCCAAAGACAAGGATCCTTTAAACGAACGTTTAATCAAGACAAACTTGAAGCTGTTTTATGTGATGAGTTCCGTGGCTGCAACAGGGCTGCTCACAGCTTTTGGACTACTTTTTGTCAACTATCACTTCAGGCTTCACAGGTAACTACATTCTTGAAGAAACTTATTTTAGACGAAATGTGCCGTTTATACGGAAAGTTCGCGTCTTATTTAAGACGCGTCTTATGTAAGACGCGTCTTATTTTTCCTCGTATAAATGGCCTTATTGTGATGTCGAGGTGGCCTCTCTATATAAGCCTGGTGGTTTCTTGAGGTCTCCTCGCCTAACAACCTGCTGTATCCTGTAAAATTTGTTGTAAAAAAAAAGGCTAATAAAAAAATGATGATGATGATAGTGTCCCTCATTATTCTATCTTGACAAGACTTAATAGGGCCATTTATACGAGGAAAAATAAGAATCGTCTTACATAAGACGCGTCTTAAATAAGACGCGAACTGTACCATTTATACGAGCATGTCTAATAAGACGCGTCTTAGCTAAGCCGCGTCTTATTTTAGACGAAATGTGCCGTTTATACGGAAAGTTCGCGTCTTATTTTTCCTCGTATAAGTGGCCCTAATGAAAGTTTGCCGACCATTCTGGACACCAACTTCCGATTAATTGATCTAAAAATAACTTTGGTGAAATTCACATATCCCTCTGTGTCCCATAAATAGATCATCTCCTCAGAGTTACTATTTAGAGGTTTTAACTCGGGCCTTTGTACATTTTGCTGTGTGGTAACCAATACATTTTTGTTTTGTCTAAAAGGCTCATCGTCACAATTTTTTCGGATCTCATATTCAATGGATCATCCCTGGATGGTACAGTAAAGACTGGTGGAACGTTAGTGATCTCTCAGGCTGCCCGGTGGAGAAAATTCAAGGCGTGGCGAGCAACTTTCTTGCAGTTCAAGAAGGTTATATAAATAACACAGTTAACACCCTCAGTGGCCTGGTAAGACCTTTTTAATTTTTACCACCATACATGTGATTACAGCAGCTGTGACCCGCGATTAAGGTTTCCTCCTCCGATCTTCAACTAAGCAATGAGCTACACATGTACAAGCTGTCATCCACGAGTCTCATTTATTCTGTTTAATAAGCAGCAATTGGAATTTGTTATGGAAGTTTCCGAAAGAGATTTACGCGGTCTATGCGAACGTTTCTCATCAATTTCTAGTGTCTTCTAACATTTAAAGGTTTGAAAGGTTCCCGACACTTTGTCGGCAGTTTTTTGGTATTCAAGGCATATTCTTCAAGGTTTGAAGAAAGGCCACTAAAAAAAAAACAAAAAACAAAAACAAAACAAAACAAACAAACAAATGATGATAACGATAAAATAAAAATTGTGAGCTGTTCATTTCCCAACTGGTGGAAGACACGCACTGCCCCATCTATGAATGGAAGAGACGAATGTAGGATCGTAAAGTGGGAATCCTCTTGCTACGGCAAGTCCCGATGACATGAATGAGTACAAGTTATGATTCCTTTAATTTTCGTATCATTCGTTCACTTTAGACAAAAGACGAGTTTTTAACGATGTATGAAGCAGAGCTTCAAAATTACTCCTTCCCCAACAACTTCTATGCTGTCTTTGGATATGACTCGGCCTGGGTCCTAGCCTCGGCTCTGGAGAAAACTGTGATGCAGCTAAAAGAAAAGAACATGTCTCTTGATAACTTCTCGTACAAGAGTGCTAACATTAAACAGGAATTACACAGTGTGCTCTCACGAACAAACTTGAATGGAATCTCGGTACGCATGGCTTTGTTTATGTTTCTCTAATATATCTGTGATATTCCTTAGATCCTAAGACCAATAATTCAAGGGCGAAAAATTCGCCTTTTTTAGTAAGGAATGTGGTTTTTTACGTGTCGTTCTCCTATTTTGTCTGTTCTTTAATATCTTGATGCCGGTTTTGAGTAGGAATTTTTCGGGGTAAAAGACCTATTAAACAAGCATTAACTTTGGAACACCATTGCTATTTGCTAAAGATTCCGCTATGGAATCGAAAGCTTGTGTATAATAAGTATTTCCAACCTGGGAATTGAATTTTCCTTTACCCTTCATATCATTATGATAGGATTAAGTAACTCTTTCTTCGCTAATAACATTCCCTTTTGTTTGCTCATAAGCAACCAAACAGAAAATTTTTTAAACTGACTAAAAGCCTCAGCGGCCAAATTCATAGTTATTAAATAAATGTCATTATTCACCTTGAAAAAAAATACAAGGTATGCACTGTCCCTATCTTCATGGACTGTTTTCATGTCTTATTTATGCCAAGTTCTAGTAAGCATTCTGAACCATTCCAAGCAACCATCATTACTTGTTCAGTTTATGGTCATAGCGTTAACCAGTTGGTTTGGTTTCAGGGTTTCATAAAGTTCAATGAAAACCAAGAAAGAATTAACATGATTTGGATTAAACAGTTTCAAGGTAACTTGAGCCTTCAATAAAGAACTTAAGACTGTAAAAATCACACTTAACAAATTAAGTCATTTGTTTGAAACTCAAGTAAATGTAGTAAATTAAGTTACTTGTTTGAAAACTCAAGTAAATTTAGACTCTGCTGCTGATAAATTAAAGTAAGTAACTTATTATAACTTTTTTAGGAGATAAAGAAGTCAAAGTGGGTTACTTTGATCCCGAAAGTTACAACTTAAGTAAGGGAGAACTCACCATCTTCTCTAAAAAGAACTTCAAATGGCCAGGTATGGCGGAGTAACGTCAACTTTGTGATCAATATAACATAACATAACATAAAATATAACGGTCTAAAGTTTTTCTTCAGCATTATACGCCATGAGTGATATTTTTGTCAGTGCTGGATGTTATTTCGAAATCAGTCTGCGAGATATGTTTTTTTTTCTAAAATCACCCATAACCCCCTCAAAAGTCAAACGGTCGGCCGCTAAAATCCACCAAACATTCTCCCCAATTAGTAAGGCACTGTGGCTGAGCTATAAGACATGAGACTTTAATAAAGTTCATTATTATTATTATTACTCAGTAAATAGATTCTGATCTGCCAATCATTTCTAAAGCCTTTTGAAAAAATAGGGACCAAAACTCTCTTATGGAGAGGGGATGAATTTGTTTCTACTTACCCCTACCCGGAAAGAACGTACGTACGTACAGACGGACGTACGGTGACGTTATAACCAAATTTTCTCGCATCGATAGTTTTCCATTTTGTCTTAATTATGGAGGCTCCGCTAAAAAAGCAATCGCGTCATTTATCCACTGGATAGAGATTTATTCAGTGGAAAGCGTTATTATCCACCCTTGGAATAACTGGGGCCTGTGGGAACTCAGGCACATCTAGGTCGCCTTTACGAAATTTTTTTTCGGAAAATAGGAAATCTTAGTTTAGGCCTGTCTTGTGTTCAAGGTTCAATTCTGTCCTTGCATTGTGTTCCAGACTGGTGCAAACATGCACGCCAAGTTCAATTAAGGATTTTAAGGGCTTAGTCCTAGACACATCTAGTGTATCTATGTATCCCGGGTGCCACTAAATTTTATTAAGATAACTATTGATCGACCACTTGCGTGGTGAAGGCGAAGCCATACTTCTTCGTGATAACTTACAAAATAAGTCAGGTCATTTCCGTACTGAAAATACCGCGCTCCTACTAGATGACTATTATAATGGCCTGATACGATCTTACTTGTTATAATAATGAAAGTGAGAATATACTAATGATTATTACTTCGAGGATGCTGCTGATGATTTGCGAATAAACAACAGTGACATTTTGTTGTGAAAACTCAATTAATATCTTCTTCAGATGGAAAACCTCCCAAAGACAAGGATCCTTTAAACGAACCTTTAATCAAGACAAACTTGAAGCTGTTTTATGTGATGAGTTCCGTGGCTGCAACAGGGCTGCTCACAGCTTTTGGACTACTTTTTGTCAACTATCACTTCAGGCTTCACAGGTAACTACATTCTTGAAGAAGCAAAGATCGTGATAGAAAATCAAATACTTCCATATTCTACGACAGGGGCAAGTACTCAACGTGCCTCATGACATTTGCAAATATTCAAAGAAGATATAATAAACAAGTAATTCCTTGTAACGTAGAGGGGCTTGTCCTTTCCCGTCTCCTTCATCAATAGGCTACAAATAAAGCCGTCTCTCCCTCGCTGTCTTCTGCTAGCCGAGTGGCGAGAAGCGAAAAGAGACGGCTGTATTTGCAGGGTTCTCATGTACATCATCTTTCTTCAGTCCTTTTCTGTTTTCCAAAAACGCATGTTAAAATATTATGTTTATTTTAATTTGTTATTTGTATTTTAATTTTAGTCCATCCTATAGATAATACATTAGTTGTACGATATTAATTAGTACAAGGTTGTTTAAACTACGTGTACATAAGAAAAAAAAGAAAAAAAATAGAATGGAGAAGGGCACATTATAGTAAAACTAATTATGGGCCCTTTAATAAAATTGACGTTATTCTATTATAGCTTTGTTATTCATTAAAACACAAACACGCGCGCACGCACGCACACGCGCACATAAGTCAATATTGAGCAAGATAATATTTTTGAAGTGCCATTTTGAACAGGATTTTCGTTGATTTATTGTGAATAGAAATAGCGAGATCGTTCCAATAGTATTTTCCAATAACGGTAGGACAAAACTTTCGAATATTAATTCTTGAGTATCTTAAGATTCTTATCTCGTTTAATTTTTCCCCACTGCTGCCAGATATAGATTATACAGACTACAGCAAGAGCTTTTTTATTTTGTTTGTAAAATTAAGTTTGCTGAGTCTTCTCAGTTATAGGCGACTTTTCGTGTGTTCGGGGTTGGGATCCACTCCACTATTTTATTATACAAGAAAATGAATACAGTGGTACCACATATAATGACCCGCTATAGCGGTCACCCTACCGAAAGTGCACTTTTCAAACCGGTACAGCTATACCGATTTTCTTTCAATACAAAAACTCTTCTCGAACAGTGGTGAGGGTTCTTTTTCTTTTACGTCCCTCAAGAACCAGACAAGTGAAAGTGCTGTGACACGGGACCTAAGGTTTTTAGTCATTGTCTGAGAAGACGAGAAAGTCTAACTAAAAATATTTTGCAGATGTCACTCCCAAAGGCAGCACTTTCTTCTCAGTTATTTAAAGACCCTGAGTGTCGGTCCGAACGGGGTTTGAATCCGCGACCTCTCGTTCAGCATACCGGTGCTGTCCCAACTGAACTAACCAGGCGGCTTAATGCTTAATGAGTATTTCTATGATCCTGTATGAAGCGGCTATCTTTACCAGGTGCCCAACAGTTCATAAGCCCAGAAGGTAGCTGCTATAAACAGGTGTCACTGCAGTTGTAGTCTGTCATTATGGGATAACAGTTGATGACGGCATTACCGTATTTTTACTCGATTGAGTGACCGGGGCGCCTATCAAAAGTTTTTGGATCTAGAAAGTAGGTGGTTATTCGAGGTTGGCCCCCTATTTTCAATAAGTGGTAAGTCTATTCGGCAACAAACAACAAATAATGACAAAACGTGGCGATGTACTAAGGCAGAATTATAACCGTCCATGAAAAGTTTCTTTAAAATACTAAGAAAACTCGGTATTCGGGGAAATTGATCAGTACTACTTAATCAATTTCATTGTCCTTGTCAGTAAGGTCATGTTTGGGGGGTCGGGCGGGGTTAGGTAGGTGAGCGGTTATTGGAGAGTGGGAGCTCATTAACGTTGCCTACATATAGGGGCGGTTATTCGAGATGGGTTAATCGAATACATGCGGTATCTTTCTTTCAGTGTAATCAGGCAATCATCGCCTAGGCTCAACAATGTCATTGTGATAGGCTGTTTGCTGCTTTATTGCTGTGTGTTCTTGTACGGAGCAGAGGCATTTGTTGAGTCACGTGGTACACATACTGTCATCTGTAAGGTAGGTGAATATTGCAGTTTCAGGTTAAACCGGTATTCAACTTCTTTAGTTCCAATCAGAATTGCCTTTGTTCCCTTTTTTCAATTCTGATTTAAACTGAGAAGGGACGTAAGCTACGACAGGTTGGTTTTCTCAGTATTTCTGCGCTTGCATTGGATCGAGTGCGCTGACGTCACTCGAAACAGCGCGATCATTGACTCATTCTCCCCCAGGGAATGCAAGGTCATAAAGTAATTAAAAAGCAATATAAAGAGAGTATTAAAGGTGATCTCTTCCTTTATCTTTACAGAGGAAATCAGTAGAGGATGTTTGCAATCAGCTTAGCCGGGTTTTCCTCAGCTTTTAATTTACGAGAAAAGATTAATAACAATCCTCTTAATCACCTATTATACCGCCATCTATAACTGTTCAAAAACTGATCCATTTTGTTTATAATAGGTTAGACGGGGGATGTGCTCTCTCAGCTTCACTCTCGCCTTTGGCACGATGTTTGTAAAGACATGGAAAGTTTACAAAATTTTTACCAATAAGCAGCTTTCTAAACAGGTAGTTTTAAAAGTGACCTCCTAGTTTGTGTTTCATTTAATTAAGTAAATGAAATCCTAGCCTGTTTTGCTCAAGGACCTCAAGTTCCTGACGGAGTATAAAAAGTGTTTTACCTGATTCTCGCTACCGGGTTAGTGGTACATGCACTGTAATGTTACTAATTGTCAGTGAAAAACATAACAAAGTTCGTCAGTAAATTATCGAAGACAAGGTATGGACCAAAAGAGGAGACGTTAAAGTTTAATTTCCTTAGTGCCACTCAGAGAAAGGCTTCAAAGTCAACCAAGTTTTCATTTTGTTGGTTTGGTTTCAGGGAGCTAACAAGAAAACCAACTGGCTCATTTAGCTTCCTAGCTTGCACATTATTTTCATTTAATTTAGTCTTCAATTGTAAGTAAATCTATAAGGTTGTAATATCGACCAAGTACATCGACCAAAACATAATAAAAACTGTTTCTATTGGTTATTTAACAATTACTTCATACGACTTTCGTATCATGAACTGAAGAATTTGGCAGATCGGAAAATATTTTCAATGAATAATTAACAATTATTGGACGAGGTTGAGCAAAATATCAGGATTTGTCGGTGGAGTCATCACTGAAAAATCAAGATATTTTGCGAGACCGAGTTCAATAATTGTTTTATCATTCGGTCACTGAGTTTGTTTTTAAATGAAAATCACTCTCTGAAATGTCAGTAAAACGATCTGCTATTTTCACGCAAGAGCGACCGCAAGGAGGGGAAAAACGTGGTTTCATTTACGCATGGGCAGAATATTATTCGCAGCCAAACACGGTTGGACGACATTGTGCATGAGCAGACCACTATTTCTAGGCAGTTATTTGCAGGCCACGTGGTGGGCTAGCTTTCGACCAATGAAAAAGAAGAAAAATTTGCATCGAATGATAATTAGACATATTGAATTTTATTCCCTCAGATAACGATCGTTGCTTTTCTCTCTTTATCTTTCCAGCTGGGTATGCTTCACGATCGTCACTTGTTGGCCATTGTGTTTAGCCTTGTTTGTTTGGATGTGGTGTACATTACAGCTTGGGAAATAGCAGATCCTATTACAAGTTTCGTGCAACATTTAGGCAGGGTACGTAAGTAAAGTTAGCAAGAAATGAACAAGAAAGGAAAATGAACAAAACCTGTTTGATATCGCCAAGAAGTAAAATATGTAAACAGAGAGCTGAGGAATGTGTTCTTTGGTGGGTAAAGAGGTTAGCTTGCAAAAACGTTTTTAACTATCTAACTGATAACCTCGTCCCGGAGAGGGTGAAAATGAAAGAGAGTTATTTATTTATTTAACGGAGTTTAGCAGCTGCATCTGCCAGAAAAAAGAACTTCTAAGGCTCACGAATCGAGTGCGCAAGTCCTGAACAGAATTGAAGAAAAGTGGGTAACGTCAATCTAAAACCGATCTTGTAATGTAATGATCATTACAGGTTAGCTATAAACATCTATGAAACACCAACAATCAACAGTAGCCAAAATTAAACTAACAGAGTTCAAAATCTGCTTCCCCCGCTTNCGGTTGGACGACATTGTGCATGAGCAGACCACTATTTCTAGGCAGTTATTTGCAGGCCACGTGGTGGGCTAGCTTTCGACCAATGAAAAAGAAGAAAAATTTGCATCGAATGATAATTAGACATATTGAATTTTATTCCCTCAGATAACGATCGTTGCTTTTCTCTCTTTATCTTTCCAGCTGGGTATGCTTCACGATCGTCACTTGTTGGCCATTGTGTTTAGCCTTGTTTGTTTGGATGTGGTGTACATTACAGCTTGGGAAATAGCAGATCCTATTACAAGTTTCGTGCAACATTTAGGCAGGGTACGTAAGTAAAGTTAGCAAGAAATGAACAAGAAAGGAAAATGAACAAAACCTGTTTGATATCGCCAAGAAGTAAAATATGTAAACAGAGAGCTGAGGAATGTGTTCTTTGGTGGGTAAAGAGGTTAGCTTGCAAAAACGTTTTTAACTATCTAACTGATAACCTCGTCCCGGAGAGGGTGAAAATGAAAGAGAGTTATTTATTTATTTAACGGAGTTTAGCAGCTGCATCTGCCAGAAAAAAGAACTTCTAAGGCTCACGAATCGAGTGCGCAAGTCCTGAACAGAATTGAAGAAAAGTGGGTAACGTCAATCTAAAACCGATCTTGTAATGTAATGATCATTACAGGTTAGCTATAAACATCTATGAAACACCAACAATCAACAGTAGCCAAAATTAAACTAACAGAGTTCAAAATCTGCTTCCCCCGCTTTGTTCCACGATGGAGGCAGCACGTTGTCTCTATGTTACTGCCAGGGTAAATCTCTCACTTTCAGTCTCAAATAATCATCAGTACTCGAACACGATTGTCTTTTTCTGCTCCAGCAAATTAGTGATCGTTTCTATTGATACTATGGAAAGACTCACTCTTATAGTGGAATAGTAATAGTGGAATTTTTCAACAAGTGTGCGGTGATAATAGAAAAGGTCGTGATTTTAGTTTGTTACTATATTTTTGCAGGAAACAACCCCAGATGGCCGGGAGATATCTCACGGCAAAGTTCTAAATTGCACTCTCAATTACAGGAGCCTGTGGTACATGTTCTGGGCGATATGGAAAAGTCCTTTCCTGGTTATTGGGCTTTTTCTTGCCTGGGAAACACGAAATGTTACTTTGGCCTCTCTGAACGACTCCAAGTATATCGGCATGAGTGTTTACAACGTTGTTATTATGACACTGATCACTGTTCCTTTGTCGTTTGTTATTGGCCAAAGAAATATTGACGCTCAATTCGCGTTGTTTGGAACATTGTTTAATGTCGTATCTACTTTTACGCTGCTTTTGTTGTTCGTGCCAAAGGTGAGAAACGTAATACTGAAATAAAGTTAGGGTCGAGCTGGTCGAGGTCACCCTTTCCCGGGGGACACCCTTATTTGGCCTAAATGGGTATGTACCGCCCAATTAGGAAATGAATAATTCAGTTTCGAAATATTACGTCTTATGCAGCTAGCGTGTACAATCTCATCGAGCGTCTTCAATCCAAGGTGTCTTTCTGGACTGGAAGCCTTGAACAGGATGTGAACGTTAGCGTTGGACTTCGTACATGTCCCTTACCAAAAATTACTCAACCCCATTATGTGATTTCTGTCATTTATGCGTTTCTTAATAGTAATGATTTTGTATGGGAAATGAAACTGTCCACTATGAACCACTCGCCTCAGCAAAAAAGTAGTTGAAAAAGCGAGGGGATCCTAAGGGGTTTGGCAATATTTCAGGTCAACTGACGGATTTGATTTCTCAAACGCGAAAATATATAATCTGTCAGAAGCCTAGGCTCCTGAATCTGTCTACCAAGGCTGAAAAATTGTTACCGTTTTCTTTTCTGGATGCTGAAAGATTTTCTACTAATAATAGCCCACGCTCGATATATTAAAATTCTAACGTGACTCCGAGGCTTTAGGGACAAATTGCAAATCTTTCACAACTCCATTGTCTCGCATTTTCCAGAAGAGACTTGAGCACAAAGAAAACCAATTCAAATATTGAAAAATGAACAGAAAGCCTCGGAGTCATGTTAGCATTTTAATATATCGAACGTGGGCTATTGAAGCAATAGTTCTCATTCAAGATGCCGCTTTAATGGGACAAAGGACAGATTAACAACTTAAAACCGTTGAGACGGCTCTAGTTGCATTAGAAGATCTGTTGCAAAAACTGTTAGAATTTCAAAACATCTCCCAAGGAGGTCGCAAAACTTGGTCCTAACTATCAATGTCTTTTTTCTTCGTGTTTTGAGCCACATACTGTGAAACAGTTCACTAAAAACCTAAATCACAAACAAACACACAGCTCAGTGAACCTCGGGGGGGGGGGGGGGGGGGGACGTTGTAGCTAAAAGCAGTGTGCGTGAAAAATGTTTAATTAAAATCACAGCCCCCGGGGTGGGGAATAATATGGTTCCCAACTATTTGTTTTTTTTTTTTTGTTGTGTTTGAACCAACAGTGGGAAAAATACACCAAAAACCCAACAACAACAAAAACCACCCCCGCCCGGGAGCGCGGGGGGGGGGGGGGGGGGGGGAGGCTCCGCCCAGATATCCTACCCCTAGCTCCTTTCGTATTCCTTCCGCTGAAAAATGATACAGCTTTAACACTCCTATTGAAGAAGAATAAATCGCTAAAACAGGTAGTATGCTTGTCGTTTTCGTGTAATGTTATATTAATAGATTTCAATGATGTAGCCATAATGCGCGTCTTTTCGAAACATTTTAATAAAGGCTCTTCTAAATAGATGATAGATTTTCTTACCCTTTGATATACTTCATCTCGCCAATTGCCTACCCTTTCATATACCTGAAAAAGGGTTCCCATTCGGGCGGAGCCCCTCCGTTTAGGCAAGTTCAGGGAGTGCTCCTCTGGACTAGTGAACCAGTGAACACTTTACGCCTCAATCAGACGCAACCGATACATCTTCAGCTGTGATATTACCTTTGCTGCGATAGCAATTCCAAGAAGCAAAAGACTAATTAAAAATGGTTTGTTTTTCATACTATAAATTAACTTCCCCGCGTACAGGAACACTCATAAGTATACCGTGGTAATGGTTTTGTACGTTCTCTTCTTGACCACCAGGTTATAAAGTTAAGGGATGAAATAGCCAACCCAGAGCGGACACAAAACACTAATCATGCGGCATAGTCTTTTAATAACTCTTGCTTGGAGCATCACAATGGTCGTAACGGTTATCGTCGACACGATGAATGCCCGTATTGCAAGTGTAGCTAAGAAAGAGAGTGGAAACAAAGTTTGGATCAAGCTTCTTGATGATGTTAAGCAGTCGATCAGGAACTGCAGAGTCATATGATGATGGACTATTCCTTCACTGTTACCGTCTTGCCTCTGCGGAGAAATCGGCTTAAGTTCGACTTCCTGCGTCGAGCACTGAAAAATTAGATAAACATACTTTCAATTTTCCGCAATCACTTCAATAATTAGTCATATTTGTAAAGCATGCATTAATCCTGGTTTGTGAAGCGTTTGCTTTGTGAGTAGAGTTTTATCCGTGAGTAATTAACCCGCGAAACATCATGTAATACATAGTACCAACTTGAGTAACAAGCTGAGAAACAAAAAGAAAACAATGAAATAATAGTGTAATACTGCGAATTTATAGCCTACTGCCAATTTTACGGATAAGGTAAAATCACTCTAATAATGGCACGGATAGCCTTCGTAGCAGGCGCTTGGAAGTAGTGGGAGCAAGGGGAGAGGGAGCTCCCTCTCCCCTCGCGTGTCTCCCTCTCGTGCGCCCGTTCTTTCTTACGCCGGCTAGGCCGGCTATGGCACGGAGTAGAGTACTGTATTTTGTTATCACACAAAAGAGATTTTTCCTGACCCCTATCAAACATTGCTACATTCACCGCTACATTTTATTTTTGGAGGCACGAAAATGTTTTTCCTGGGTACCAGACAAAAACTTAGCGGTGAGATTTTCGAAAAAAGCCATGTATCTAGAAAATCTTGTCTGTGCTTTTCGGCCGGAGCTGGGAAAACAGGACATTTGCACCATGATTTAATATGTTTTCAACAACTAGAATCCTTCAATCTGTTGTTTCAGGGTCATCCCCAGTGTAACATAATTTATTTGTTTTCTTTGTTTTATGGACTATTGTCAGGGTTAGGTTAATTGTTGAGGATGTTTTGTTTTCTCTGTTTTACTCCGGCGTCAGCTGTGAGTGATATACAACTATCCCCCGAAAGGGAGGTGAATAGTGGTGTATACAGCTATTTCGAAAAAGGTTGTCGGAAAAAATGTGCACGCGACAATCCCGAAAGGTAATATGGGATATGATCAATACACTGCTCCTGACTTTCTAGCTGTCGAACCTACTTTTGTTGCTTTCTTTTAGCACTCGTCCATAACCTCTCGTGGCATTTTATCCTGAACTTCCTTGAAGAACAGTGAACTCAAAACCACCCACAACATGCACCTTTCGGGATTGTCGCATGCACTTTTTCCGACAACCTTTCTCAAAATAGCTGTATACCGAGCCACGACGCGTAGAGGTATATACCTAGCGCTGTTCACCGAACATTAGGGGGATAGTTGTTTAAAAATGAAAAAAGTAACTTTTCTGTAAATTAAAAACGTCACTTAGTAGGGCGTTTGCTTACAATTTACAAACATTCCGGGGATTTTGTCAAGTGGGTTTAACGATTTTGTCGCAAAGTCAGCAAGAAAATAATTTTCTACCTACCAGTAAACACCGACAAGCTGAAGTTCGTCGCTTCCTTGGCATTTGTTTGTACGACTGCTTCATTTATTTGTTTACGCAATATAATAAGATCGTAGACAACTGTAAATACTTGTTTGTCGTAAATTGTGATATGGCTGTGAATCGTAGCAGCTGTAACTGGAACTGTAGTTTGTCGATTTCCTAGTCTGCAATTATAACTTGAAAAAAATTAACTCAAGTAGCGTAGCGGGAATATTTACGTATTGTTGAACAAGGATAGACTGATCGATTTGAAATTGGACTCAAAGATCTCGCCGTCTTTAGCGAATTCAAAGATACTTAGCGTTTCAATAGGTCACGGGGTTTTTTCACGTGGCCATTTGTTCTGAAAATCCTTAATGTTTTGCCAATTAGTTAAGTGACAGGTTCATGGAAAAGGTTTTTTTAATTTATGTCAGATATTCAGACCCTTTAACGCGATAGTGAAAACGGCTGTTCACTGCACTCCAATACAAATTAATGAATCCAAAAGCCATTTATTCGAGTGCCATTTACTCCACAAGTAGAAGAGAAATGTATTTATTCTTTTATCAGAAACTCTATACAGTTTAGCCACACAAAGTAAATTCGCAAAAAATTCGTAAGTTTCCCTCATTATTGATCAATAACATTTGGCAAAAAGGTCTTTAGATTATTATTGAGGGACGATTCCATCCTGTTCTGAGGGAACCTTAAGAAATATAATGCCCATTTAAAAATCATGATATTTAATTTTTACCTAGCTTTAGGGTTCAGATCTCTGAGAAAAACGTGAAAGGCTTGGTTTTTGGAAACGAAACCTGGGAGAAAGAAACCCTGTCATAGTTAAAATGGATTTCAACTGTACTCCAATGAAAATCTTACACCAAACCGCGTCTCATCAGGGGCGAAAATTCAGCTCTTTATCCTTCCAACCTCCGTTTATTTAAGTACATACAAGATTTCCATTTCCGATTTCCTTTTTGAGGTCTCTGTACTTACTTGATGCTTTTGCTTGCATATCGGGTTTGAAGGTCAACTATGAAAAAACTGAAGCCCTCTGGATTGGCGCCTCTAAAAGTTCTAATCTCACTTTCCCTTCAAGTAAACCAATAACTTGGGCAAACGAGAAGGTCTTCGCCTTTGGAGTGTGGTTTTCGACTTTGGAAGATAGGTCTCTTAATTCTAACTTTATTGAGAAAATTGAGAAAATAAGGAGTATCTTAGATAATTGGTCGGCTAGAAGACTGACCCTCTTGGGTAAAATTACAATCATAAAAACTCTAGCCGTATCACAAATCGTCTACATATTGTCATCTCTTCCAACACCTCCTGACATACTTAAGACAATCAACTCTATATTGTACGATTTCCTTTGGGACGGTAAGGGCGATAAAATCAAAAGGACGACAATGATAAATAATTACGCGAAAGGAGGACTTAAGATGTTAGATATTCAAAGCTTTAATGAATCCTTGAAAATGAAATGGATCCAAGGGTATCTAAATGAAGAAAATAAAGGGAAGTGGAAACTTTTTTTTGACCACTACTTAGGGAAGTACGGGGGAAAACTATTGTTCCGAAGCAATTTGAAACAGCAAGATTCTGCACTGCTCAACCTCAAGGACCCTTTCTTAAAAGAAATCATACAGTACTGGACAAAATTTAATTACAAAGACGATAACCTCGATTTTGCCTCCACATATATATGGTACAACTCTCACATTAGAATTGAAAATCGCCCATTCTTCTACAGATCATGGTTGAGCGCGGGGATAAAGGAGATTAGAGATCTGTTAGATAACGACCAGAATTTTCTAAGCTATAACGCCTTCATAGATAAATATAGCATCAAAACCAATTATCTCGAATATCACAAAGTGATATCTGCTGTAGCACATTACAAGAAAGTACACTCTACAGCCTATCATGACTCGACTCCAAAGGATCCAGTTGATACCCTTCTGTCTCACACCAAAGTTTCCAAGAAAATTTATGAATGTCTAATAAACGAAAAAGCTTCTATACCATCAAGGAGTCAGGGAAAGTGGTTGGAAGAGAGAGACATACATTGTAATCTTAGTATAATAGTAAACTGGGAAAATACGTACTGCCTATCATCTCTGTGTACAAGAGAGTCAAAGCTTAGAGCGTTCCAATTTAAATTCCTTCACAGAAAAATAGCCACAAATGACTTCCTGTACAAAATAGGTATCAAACAAACAGATTCCTGCTCCTTTTGCGAGGAACAAAAAGAAACCCTCGTTCATCTATTCTGGACTTGCAAATACACTCAGAACTTCTGGAAGAGCATGTTCGAGTGGATGTCTCAAAATTTCAAAGATTTAGAAAACGTCTCTCCCTCCTTGTCTCTCTGTTTCGGTCTCATTGACGACGTAAAAGACCTTCTCTTTCATCACCTACTCCTTATAGCTAGACATTACATATACACCTGCAGACTTGGGAACAAGCTTCCTAAGCTGCAGGTGTATATACAGGTACTTATGAACTCGATAGAAATTGAAAAGCATATTGCATTCCACAATAACGACTCAAACGTCTTTGTACGGAAATGGTCTCGCTTTAAAAATAACCTCTCACAAAATCTGTTGCATTAACAATATATAAGAAGCGTAAAACGTGGAATCTCTTAACTTGAAACCAAATATGTTGTATGACCTTTTGTGTGATTTTATTTTACTATATATATTTGTATATACTTTTTGCTTGATTTATTTGTTTATTTTAGTCTCGTACCTTTCTGTTTTTGTGACAATATTTGTTTTTTTTTGTTTAGTCATACAAATTAGTTGCATACTCGAAACATGTCCACGTTTTTCAATTGCTTTGTAAATTGTAGAATCCCTTGACTTGAAATCAAATATCTTGTATGACTTTTTTTGTGATTTTATTTTACTATATGTACTACTACAATGTATGTCAATACTTGTTGTGGAAATAATAATAATTAAAAAAAAAAAAAGAAAAAAAAAGAAGAGAAATGTATTTATTCTTTATCAGAAACTCTATACAGTTTAGCCACACAAAGTAAATTCGCAAAAAATTCGTAAGTTTCCCTCATTGTTGATCAATAACATTTGGCAAAAAGGTCTTTAGATTATTATTGAGGGACGATTCCATCCTGTTCTGAGGGAACCTAAAGAAATATAATGCCCATTTAAAAATCATGATATTTAATTTTTACCTAGCTTTAGGGTTCAGATCTCTGAGAAAAACGTGAAAGGCTTGGTTTTTGGAAACGAAACCTGGGAGAAAGAAACCCTGTCATAGTTAAAATGGATTTCAACTGTACTCCAATGAAAATCTTACACCAAACCGCGTCTCATCAGGGGCGAAAATTCAGTTTTTTATCCTTCCAACCTCCGTTTATTTAAGTACATACAAGATTTCCATTTCCGATTTCCTGATCAAGCGCATGAAACCCGCCTCAAAAAATTTTCTCGGCAGGACCAGTGTCTATAAACAGTTCTTAAATTCACGTTTTTTTTTTCATTTTTTGACAATACACGAGTCAGGAAAAATCCGTCAACTCAGCTGAAAAGAGTGTCTTTAAATTAGAAAAATTGCTAAGTATGAAAGTGATTTGTTGAACACTAACGAAGACAGGTCCTCAAAGTTTGTCGGTTTGAATAGTGGGGGCCACAAACTTGTCCTCCACCGAACGTAATGTAAATTTTAATTCGCAACTTTGCAGGCAGAGCTATTTAAAAAATGTATCTTCGTTCGCTTAGAAGGCGCTATTTCCAGTGTTCCCGGCGGATTTTCCCTAACTTGTCCATGTCAAAAGTTACTGAAAAGACCGTGAAAGGGTCTATGAATTAAAATCCACGCCGAAGAAGAAATGACCCTGTTTGGCAAAATCCGTCTGAAAATGTTCCGGATTTCGATTTTGGAGAAACCAAATCCCGATACTCCAATCCTGAAACGCACCCTAAATGAAAGACCTCAGTCGTTCGATTTACAAGGAATAATTTTTTGAAATCATTATTAACGATTTGACGAACTTCTTTTAGTTTCCAGCCGAACACCACTGGATTTAACGATGAATTAAGCATCCATAAAACCAACGTTAGGTGTGCGGCTCCCTTTATCGCCGCATTGGGCTGAGAACTGAGTAACAACACTGTTAAACAGATTAAGTATGGACAGTAACACAGCAAGAATATAACAAACACATAAAACGTTTTGATGGCTAAGTTCTTGTTTCTGGTCATTTTTCTGATACCTGACAGATGCGCTGTTACTTGAGCTTGGCTGTTTATACTTGCTACGTGTCGGCGAGCGACGGAAAAAAGTCTAATGTATATGATGCTGACTAGAAGAGTGCTGATATATCCGTTAATAAGGATCAACATCTCCCCAATATTCAAAAACCAGAAGGCACTTATGATAGTGGTAGCTAAAACAACTATCCACGACGCGAGCACTGTGGCAGCTACTCGCTTTGGAGTCACTAGCTCATTGTATCTAAGATGTAAGGAAATTGCAAGAAAACGGTCTACTCCGATGAAGGTTACAGTTATGAACGAGGCACTACATAACGAAGTTTCTATAAGTAAAAATGCTAATAGAATTTGGTGGTTATTTTCACAGGTGTAACTTTGTCGAAGTCTTGAAATAACAGCCATGTAAAGTGGGTGACCAAGAACGCCATTGCCAAGATCTGTTACAGCTAAACACTTTAGAAGAATCTGCGTTGAGGAAGGAATAGATGAAGCTTTCTTTAGCGCGAAAATTATACTCAAGTTTCCCAGAACTGCGGTGAAAGAGAACAAACCATTTAATACCAGCATCATCTTAAACAGTGTGTCCAATTCTTCAGGTCTTTCGTAATACTTTTCCAGAATAACATTGCACAATTGTAATGAACTATCCATTTTTAACTGCGCTTCTTGCCCTTAAAGAAGATGGTCAGGCCAGAGTCAGATCAGAGTGCGACACGCTTTCTTCAGCTCTTTCTTTGCGCTGTTTTCCGCAAAATTTGGCGGTAATGTCAATTGCTGAAATCTTATATGAAGGCTACATTGCGGCTGATTTAATTTACTTGTTTACATAGCAATGAGGCTGTAATATCAGTGAAGAAGTGTTTTACAGCAATAATAGTGATTGCATTATGATAAGTTCTTAATAGGGAGCTGGAATACAAAATGAAAAATTGAAATTGAAATTCGTATATCCTGTGGCTTGTTTTAAGATAATAGAAAGAAGTAACAAGGGTCTGCAACCATAGGAGAGGAATAGCAAGGTGGTGAATCTGTATTATTTTCGTAACGCTGTGAATCATAACACTGAATTAATACGAATTGAAACGTACGTTCAATCTTCTTTGTGTCGCGAATTTATATTATTAAGTTCAAGTTAACTGTGAGATTTTATCTGTCACTTTATTTGATGCTGTCGTGAATTTAATAACTTGCAAAATTTATTAACCGGCCGGCATGTTCATCCTCTCAATTTCATTAGCAACACGCATTACAAACCAAAGCTATCAAAATGGTCATTTTCAGTGAGAGATTTCACAGTAGGCAATTGATTGAGAATTTCTCCCCAATGGCTTCATTATTTCAGTCCTTCTTTTGATAAATTTATTTATTTTTAACTTAGTAGAAAGTTTCTTTTTTTAAGCCAACCTGCTGTTATTTTATTTGTTTGAGCTATTCTTATTAAGACGACAATTCTCTTTTCATTTCTGTCTAGACCTAATTTCATCTAACCATTCTTTAGTTTGCAGCAACAAAAAGAAAACTCACCGTGTACAGAACTAAAAAAGACAAAGCACGGCGCGGAATGCATATAACCTTTTTAAACTAACTGACAATTGACTAGAAAGTTAATTTGAGGTTGAGTCCGTTGGCCATGGGGCGAAAGCAGTTCAAGGCACTGCTCTATTTCCTCTTCAACTTCAAATGAAACTAAAATGCCGACTACATTCAAGATGTAAGGCCCTAAAGGCCGATTAGATAAAAACTGCCCAAAGTCACGCCACGTGGCTAAAACAGTAGATGAACTATAGTCTCAAAGTACATGCAAATAGCGGTAAAGTTTGTTTATTGCTAACATTCCGAGAACGTTTTTATAAAGCAAAATAGACACAAAATAGCACTACAAGATGGTCGCCATGTTGTCTACTAGGGCGGCAGAAGCTGTGGCCGCACCTGACCGTAGTTAAAGTGAGCTTAAGACATGCTAAATCTCGGTCGATTTTGCCAAAAGGTCCATTTTCAAATCGCTGTGGATAAACATCAATGTATATATAATCGATGCCAAAGAAAGGCATATTTATTCAACTTACTTGGTTTAACTGATTAGTTTTCTCAAGAGAGAATGAGCTTGCAACTTATGAGCAAGCTGGCGGTGGTAAGAGGAATTCGCCAATTTTTTTTCAAAACCAAAGCTCTTTATTTCAATAAACTCACCTGTTTTTACGAAGCTGTTCTCCTGTGTGGTCGAGCAGTAGCAAATCGACCAGTGCTAAACTTTAGCTTGTTCAGAACTTCGCCGCTACACTATAATATTGGGCGAAAGGGAAGAAAAATATGATTTTATATCACCGACACTANAAAGTCACGCCACGTGGCTAAAACAGTAGATGAACTATAGTCTCAAAGTACATGCAAATAGCGGTAAAGTTTGTTTATTGCTAACATTCCGAGAACGTTTTTATAAAGCAAAATAGACACAAAATAGCACTACAAGATGGTCGCCATGTTGTCTACTAGGGCGGCAGAAGCTGTGGCCGCACCTGACCGTAGTTAAAGTGAGCTTAAGACATGCTAAATCTCGGTCGATTTTGCCAAAAGGTCCATTTTCAAATCGCTGTGGATAAACATCAATGTATATATAATCGATGCCAAAGAAAGGCATATTTATTCAACTTACTTGGTTTAACTGATTAGTTTTCTCAAGAGAGAATGAGCTTGCAACTTATGAGCAAGCTGGCGGTGGTAAGAGGAATTCGCCAATTTTTTTTCAAAACCAAAGCTCTTTATTTCAATAAACTCACCTGTTTTTACGAAGCTGTTCTCCTGTGTGGTCGAGCAGTAGCAAATCGACCAGTGCTAAACTTTAGCTTGTTCAGAACTTCGCCGCTACACTATAATATTGGGCGAAAGGGAAGAAAAATATGATTTTATATCACCGACACTAAAAGAATTAAAGTTTCTTCCGGTACCTGAATCTTTTAGGATTTAAGAGACGCTGTACAGATATTTAAGTGTATGACCAACCAGGCACTGACCTATCAGGTAAACATGCTTCAAAAGAGATCTGAAACTCACAAGTATAACAACACGATTAACAACAACCTTAAATAATAAAATCTCATCCATTTGTGCCGCACGGCGCTGTCAGCTATACCTATAAAGGTAAATAGTGTGGAACTCAGTACCACCAAAGATCCGCAATTCGTCACGTATAGACTGACATTTGAAGGTAGCCGGCTTGAAAAATTATTTTCTCGCTAATCTTCTTAGCAATGAGGTATAGTAGGGTTCCGACAGTAGCAGCATCCGTTACTATGAGCGCTCGTTCGAATGGGACTTAAAGAAACGACAGGCTCTAGGAACGAGACGTCCAAGGTCTATGGTGTATTTCCGTTTGCGGTAATTGACCCGAACTACCAGAAATCAAGTTTCCTTCTGCTTAATGTGGGTGGCCAGGATTCTTGGGTGTTGAGTCTAGGTTGCGTTCCCCTGATGTCCTACGCAATAATAACTGAACTCCAAGGTGTTCTACCACAATGACAGAGCGCGTAGCGCCGAGAAGCCAAGACATGCGCATGAATGCACAGTTCTGTTGTTTTAGAACCAACTGTGTATTTTTTTGTCCACTGGGGTGGAAGATCAGGTCACCCCCTTTTCCACTTTAGTGACCTACTCTTCCAGTTATTGAAAATAATATATAGTCGAACCTCCGCTAACGCCGGCCACGTCTCCACAACGACCACCTGTCTACAACGGTCACTCTCTTGTTGTCCCGGCGGACAGTCCATACATTGGTTCTTGTTTAACCCTCTCCACAACCGCAACAGCCACTACAGCGCGTCCTCAAATGCCAAAATAACCTCTCGCCAAACGGCCAGTTTTTTCAGCGACTGAGGTCCTGAATGGTTACGTAATTTGATCTGTATGGCGCGTTGATGATCGTGGCAATCGTTTGATTGTGTTCCATTTAATAATGCTACAGTAAGCAAAAATTGTCTGCAAAACTTATAGCGAATGTTGCGAGCCTTGCTGGTTTGGTCATGTAAACGTTTTGATTCGAAAAATGATTTGTAAATTTTTTTTGTATCTGATTTTAGCTCTATATATCAAAGTTTTTATGATTGGATTACCCTTGTGGGATGTCGAACTTGGCACAATTAACAGGTTGTACTCGGACCCTACAAAAACTGTCATATTAAACCATTACCTCCGCATAACGGCCACCTCTCCAAAACAGCAACTTTATTCTGCCCCCAAGTTGGCCATAGTAGAGAGGTTCGACAGTAGATACTTTAGGTCTGTGCAAAACAATGAGCTACATTAAGATCAAATGATTTAGCTTCCTGGTGAGACCATGTTCTAAAGTAAGCATTGCTTGATGGGCTCCTTTTGACGCTTTTGATCAATATTAGATCCCAATCGGATGAAAAAAATTCTTGATTGAGGTGGAAGCCAGCGTAAGTACTCTAGAGTTGAGAAAAAATTCTTGACTAAATAAAAAAACCTTTGGTGTTTGCGAAAGTTAAAACCAAATGTTTTTGACTAGATGCAAAAAACCCTTCACTAAGAATGAATTATTCTCACAGGTCTTAACAGCTATCACAATGGCGTACACTAAGTGTTAGTTTAATTCCAACAAGACATTTTAGAAAGGCAGCAATGATATCAATTCCCGGATATGTATAATGAATATTCTTAAATGCATTTTCTGCTTAATAGGAAAGTAACACTGATTAGCAGGAATCATTGATAACAATACTAAAAATACGAGCAAAACAAATCGAAAAGATCGGCCATTTTCCAGGGGCCTCCAAAGACAGTTATTGGCGAAACATGATTATAAAACGAGGCCTTCTCTTTTTGAAGTTACTGGCAAAAGAAAAGCTGTTTCCCACTACCTGGAGAAGAAGTCCAGCTTCCAGCTTAATAAGATGGGTAATTAAAACACCCGCCTTTTGTCCCCTCTTGAACTCAATCCGCGACCGCATAATAAAAGCGTTTTTAAAGCAATTTACGGCCGAATCCCCACTGAATCGCTATCTCTTACACCAACCCTTGACGGACACAAAACTGCTAAAAAATTAAACTGGCTTAACGCTTCTGTGATTTAGCCAGCGAACTTCACTTTGCCCGTCAACAGTGGTTTTTCCTAGTCTCCTTCAGTTTTCTTTCTCAGCCTTTCCATCCAACCACCTGTACTTGAAATTCTAGAAATAGTTAGTAATTAATTCCCATCTGAAGATCTTCAACCAGCTGAATTTTGACTACCAAAAAAAGTGCTATTTGGCGCGGAACTCTACTTGCTTCTAATTTTTTTTTAAAGGAGGAATGATACCACTATCATGTCATTTTTTTTTTTTTCAGGGCACAACTTCTACAACTTACAAAATAAAAATAGCAAAGACGATTTTCTAAGGAAGGCTGTAAACAAATATAAATAATCCGCTTTGATTAAAAAGGAGAACTTGACAGCTAATTAGAATACTTTTGGGAAGCTAATAAATTACTTGTCATTGGATGAACGAACGTTCCGTCAAAGTTAAAAAAAGCATATCGTTTGCGGTATAAGCACTAAGCATAAACCTGCGATGTCTGTCTCCTCCTTTTTTTTGCTAGTCTAACGTGCGTGTGCCTTCAATGTAAATTACATTTTCTCAACTGTTTATTGAAACCGGATTACTTACAACTAGTAATCAGGAGATATAAATTTAAAAAAGAAAAAAAGCATGTTTAAATATATAATTTGTTTTTGAGAGCAAAGATGTCCTCTGTCCTTTACTGGGTTAAGTTATAAATTTTATTGAACGTTGATGTCAGCTCATTTGATTTTAACTTCATACGGAAGCGCTCAGGACCCTATTCGCTTAGTTAAATGCCGGAAAGAAACGTAAACTTTTCTGCATGTTCCCTCGATTACACATCTTCAGCTTTCCAAAAAATGAACTTTTGGAAATCATTCTTAACAATCTGTCGAACTTCTTTCATTTTCCAACCGAAAACGACTGGATTTAACGATGAATTGAGCAGCACTAGAACTGTTGTAAGTTGTATGGCTCCCTTCATAGCTGCATTCGGCTGAGGACTCACTAGCAACAGAGTTAAGGTGATTAAATATGGACAATAACACAGTAAGAATACAAGATATACGTAAAAGGTTTTGATGGCTAAGTTCTTGATTCGAGCCATGCTTGTGAAACTTGACAGATGCATTGCCACTTGTGCCTGGCTGTTTATGCTTGCTGCGTGTTGACGAGCGACGAGAAAAAGTTTAATATATATGATACTGAGCAAAACCGTGGAGCAGTAAGCAACAATAAGCAAAACCACTTCTCCAACTTTAAAATACCAGAAGACACATATAAAAATGGTAGCCAGGGAAAAAGTCCACGACGCAAGTACCACGGTGATTATTCGCTTTGTAGTGACTAGTTCATTGTATCTAAGATGCAAATAAATTGCAAGAAACCTATCCACTCCGATGAAAGTCACCGCCATTAATGAGCAACCACTTAACGAAGCTTGTATCAGGAAAAATGCTAGCAAAATTTCATGAACGTTCTCGCAGCTATAATTTTGCCGAACTTTTGAAATTACGGCGATGTAGAGTGGATGACCTAGTAACCCAGTAGTAAGGTCTGTTATCGCCAAGCACCAAAGTAGAGTTCTCGTTGACGAAGGAATTGATAAAGTTTTTCTCAGCGCAGAAATTAGGCTTGCGTTTCCAAAAACAGCGGTCACCGAGAGAAAACCATTAAGGACACACATTACAATATATAGAGGGTAAACTTCTTCAGGTTTTCCATAGTACTTCATCAAAACCTCATTGCAAAGTTTGAGTGATGCTGCCATTTTAACTTCTGTATACGCAGCGTCCCCTGACTTACAAGGTAGTGATCTTGCGCATCAAGTAGCTTTTACGCGGTTGACGTTCTGAAGGTAATTTGTACAAGGAGAATAAAAAACTTTCTTAATTTTCTTATTTTACGTAAGCGCATGAAATTAGCACTTTTAGTCGTTTTGACTGACAAATTAGCTCACCGATATAATTTTTCAAATAGCTTAATTCTCTAATAATAAAACAAATACAGTCCTCTTGAACAATTAATATTGATAAAGTTAAATAAAAGAGTCCAGAATAAATATTGTACGAAAGTTAAGTAATGTCAGTTTCATTTTTATTAAGACAATCATATCGTATTTCTTGGAGAGAGCAACGAGATGGATTAGTGCTTGACCATCCTGTGCTTTGTAATGTTTCTTTGAGGTTGACTGCTAAAAGGCACTGAACCAAAGTCAGCGCCAACTCTGTGGCTTGCTTAGCCTCCAGGCATGAAAAAACCACTAAAAATTTAAATGAATGTATGTACGTGGCATAATTTGAATTGTTGGGTTTTTTTTATTTTAGACCAAAACAACAATCCTCTATTTTTCATAACGTAGGTTGAATTATAAATATTTTTCTTTAGCTAAAACTGTCTGAAGGTACTTTACTACTTATCTAACATCTCAGTCGCTGATCATTCGGCATCATTACTGAGTACAAAGAAAAAACCAGTTGGTCTGAGTCTAAAACGACATGTTATTATTACTGACCAGGTGAATGGCCCCAAGGTGAAAAATAGACGAATTAAATCACCCGAATAGAAATTAGTTAAAAGATGATACCGACAAAACCGTCAATTAAATAACATTAAACCAACAGAATTAAACATTTTAAACTATGGGCTAACCTATCACTTTTCTCCTGTGGTATTTAAAATCGGGGATTATTCTGCTACAATATTATTTAGCGTTGCTTAATAATAAAAAGCAAGTGGCGGCGAGCATCTCGCGATGGAAAACAAGTAAAAAAAAATTTGATCTATTAAATAATTCAATCTACTCAATCGGCTTCTACTTAGCTTTTCGGCCTTTGTTTTCACTGTATTTTCCAGTAAGTTAAGGTGTGTTGTCAGAACTGACAGGGGGAAAACGTTTCCTGATAATTTGCACAAATAAAAAAACCACATTACATCAAGTCCATAAATTGCCTCCTATGAAATGTCATTTTTAATCTTTATTAAAACGCCACGAAGTACGATGAGCTTTTTCAACGAAGAAATCCAACACTTGTATACTATGTTGGTTATATTTATCATATAAGTTAAGTTCAGGCATAGGAACTCCAAAACTCCTGCATTGGAACAGAGTTATATACTTCTGCTTGTATTTACTGTCATTTTATGGGCTTCTGTACCCATGATTTAAAGCATTTTTAAATGAGAATTTACGGTGGAAGTTTTTGGTTATTTTTCTAGGTTTATTTAAGGCCCTAGAATCAGTCGCAATTTCGCAATGCTCCGTAACGTGGCAGTTCCTCTTAAGCCTCCCAAACACAGAATTGTCGTTTCCTTCAGTCCCACACCCAAGTCCTTCGACACACTCCCAGTAGTTAAAATTATTAAATGCACGAAAGATATATTACTGAACTATCAAGAAAGATTGCAAATAAACACGAATAACTACTTATATTAAAACCGTACATGCAAGGAAGAAAAATGACAGCTAAATAAATGAGGTCATAAATTGCCCTTGGCAAGCATTCCATGCTTGAAAGTCAATCCGTTTAAGTCCCAGACAAAATGCACTAAAAACCTTTGATGCCTTATCACTATCTGATGGATTTGAAAAAAAAAACAACAACCTTCTATAGTTGTTAAAGCTAAGGGAGGTTCTCGACGCGGAGTTACACCCAGGTTTCCCGCCAGCATTATTTTTTTCTACTTAGGACTAAGCTGGAGTAGTTTGATGTTTGGCTGCTGTTTTAACGATGAATTGAGCATCATTAAAACGTGTAACCCGACAGAAGGCTTCATCTGATTTATGGAAAAATTTACTTTTAAAATAATTCTTAACGTTTTGACGAACTTCCCTCATTTTCCAACCAAACACCAGAGGGTTTAACGATGAATTGAGCATCATTAAAACTGTTGTAAGTTGAACAGCTCCCTTAATTGTTGTACGCGGCCGTGAACTAACAAACAACACAGTTAAGACGATTAAATAAGGACAATAACACAGCAAAAATACAACATATGCATAAAATGTTTTGATGGCCAAGTTTTTGCTCCGAGCCATGCTTGTGAAACTTGACAAATGTATTGCCACCTGCGCTTGGCTGTTTATGCTTGCTGCGTGCTGACGAGCGACGGAAAAAAGTTTAATGTATATGATGCTAAGTAAAAGCGTACAGCTATAACCAAAAATTAGCAAAAGTGTCTCCCCAGCCTTAAAATACCAGAAGACAGAGATGATAGTGGTAGCGAGTCCGAAAATCCACGACGCAAGTACTACGGTGACCGTTCGCTTTGGAGTCACTAGTTCGTTGTATCTAAGATGCAAGAAAATTGCCAGAAACCGATCCACTCCCATTAAAGTCACTGTTGTAAATGATGCAGAAAGTAACAAACCTTCTATCATGAAAAATGAAAATAGTATTACATGGATATTCTCACAACTATACTCTTGCCGAATTCCTGACATGACAGCGATGTAAAGAGGATGGCCCAGGAAACCAGTGGCGAAATCTGTTAGCGCTAAACACTGTAGTAGAATTCGCGTTGACAAAAGAATTGATGAAGTTTTCTTTAACGCGAAGATTACACTTATATTTCCCAAACCGAGGTCAAAGAGAGAACGCCATTAAGAACACACATAACCAGATATAGTGGGTACACGTCCTCTGGTTTACCATAGAACTTCTTCAGAACTTCATTGCAAAGATTGAATGTTACTTCCATTTTCTATCCGCTCTACAATGAATAGCAAGCACCTTGTTTCTGTCTTACAAAGAAAAGAAGTCCCATTACCCGCAGATGACATAGGTGAGACCTAATGAGAAAATTGGCATAAGAGGCAATATAATGTTTTTAGATTAGCACTTTTCGGCCGCTTTGGAGTGGCAATTAACACACTTGTCTAATTGTTCAAATGTTTGATTCTAACTCGTCAAACGCACAGCTCGACCCTTGAAGCACTTGACATGTCGCAAATGATCTGAAATGACTCCACAAAATGAATTATTTTACCGAAGTCTATGAAGAATAATAAGCTTACTTGTATCAGCATACAAGTGTTCCTGTTTAGTTTTTTTCTCTTTGATCTAAGACTACAAATTGAACTAAATTACTTGGCCCAGTGGAACTAGTTGAATATCGCTTTAGTTCTCGTGTCCTTTTCATTGATTTTTTTTTTTACCAAAACATTATAAGTTACACATGTTCCAATAAAAAGCAACAATATCTTAACTGGTGCTTTGTAACTGACAGGTAATAATTCTCTGAATACATAAGAGGGATATTATGGTCAAATGATAATGACGCTGTGAATCGTAGCACCTGATATTAAAATAATTATTGCTGTCTTTTGGGCCTCTTGCTGCCTTGAATTATATCCCTCCTGAGCAAAACCCTGAATGCTTATTAGTATACCTGCAGGGAGCTGTGATGTTTGTTGTTGTCGCGTGAGTTTTTCTGATACTACTTCCCCCAAAAAATTCGCTCCTGCAATTCTTAATTTAGTATTTACGAGACTGACAACGGAAAGAAACAACCATTTTGATTTTTCTCCAGCTTCTTAGATTTATATTATATAGTGAACAAATCAGAACGTCCTTTTTTACACTCTTCATTCATTCTAAGGGTTTTCTATCTAGTCTTGACTAGCAATAATGTTTTTACTCACGAAATTATTGTTAGCATCGCATCACTTCACTGTAAAATATATTTTCAGTTATTAATCATGTATTTGTTAATATGCACTCCGAGAATAAAAGGCGCAAAGCCCAGACAGTCGGTTCTTATGCAAAATTAAACCACTGACATTTTATTATTCCAAAAAGCGAAAAATACGTTAAATGGTACTTCTACACTCGTTGCTCATCCACTTCTCTTTTTTGATCCTCAACAAAACCGACGAAAAACGTTTTATTTCAGGAACAGTAGGTTACGAATGAGGAAAACGAAACATATGAACTGAGCGAAGCGTCTTGTGACAATCAGGCAATTTTTGCCAAAGACATCACCAACCTTTTTTCTCTTTAATTCGAGGAAACATTTATTTTTTCTCTCTTGTATTGCAATATAATCCATTTTATGCTAACAAAGCAGTTCAAACAAACATAAAAATTTTTTAAAAAAATTTTAATATTAAAACCGTAAAACTAAACTAGTATGACAGCCCAATGAATTACTTTTGGCAAGCAAAGCTTTTTCTAATTACCTAATAAAGATTCAACCTGCTGTATCGTTGCGGTATAATCTAAAAACCGATGATGTTTCCTCTTTAGGTAAATTCTTTAGTTGGCCTCCTGTGAGATAACAATGAACTTGTCAAACATATTCTTGAATATCAAAGCGTGTTAAAAAAAAGAATAGAAACTGTCAATAAGTGAACTTTTGAAAGCTAAGTCAGCTAGTTCTTGAGTCGTTAATTTTTGATAATGTCATTGGAAGCAACCGGTTGAATCAGGGAAAATGGTATTAGCCAGTCGTGAGAATTTGCCAGATTAAAAAGGAGTTTATAAGATAATGTTGTTCAACAACAAAAAAAATAAAACTTGTACGAGGCTGCTCCTGTATCCAGATATATTGTATACCAGGTGACGAATACCAGCAAAAATCCTATCTTTATCCTAAAGCCGACAATAATACCGAATTCCGATCAAACCATTACTACACGTAATAATTTCATGCACATGTCGTTATTGAAGCGTGCTTGCCCCTAGATAGGGACACTCCCTATGATGGCGGCCCATAAGGGGGTAGGGAGGGGGGTCCACCCTCAAAGGGTTACCTATTCACAACACTCATAATGATATGCGAGGTTAAAATAATTCAATAATGGGTTCTTTCATGGCTAGTCTAGCGGTCTCACGTGCGATTACGTAATTACCGATAATAAATTCTGGTTTGGCGCGAAAATAGACCATTCTTGCTCAGTTTTTCAGCGGAGCCGCGAAGAGCTGGTCTCTTTTCTTTTGGAAGATACGACCCACGCGATTTTCTTGACGATTTCCTGATGGCTGAGGGTCAACCTCCGGAGCCGAACGTTCAGTTACTTGTCGATCCTGTAGAGCCAGTCGTGAATCCACCGGTCGTGAACCCGCTAGTGGTGAATCCGCCGGTTGTGAATCCACCGGATGGCAACCAGAATGTTAATGTCGCTCAGCCTCAGGAACTGGAGGTAGTTCTCTTTTAGTTGTTATGAATTCTTTCGTGGCATATTTCTCTTGTCTGTCGTATCTTTCAGGTTCTTCACACAGCATGGTGGAGAGAATAACGGAGAGCTTTTGGCCCGATCGCGGCCTGTTATCGAAATCTTTTCGGAAGATTGTCGGGTTATTCCGCGTGGCTAGTTAACGAACTAGCGTTCGGCGTCTGGCTTGTGGCTGGAGGAACGCCGTGGATTCGCTTATTTTGTATTTCTTTCGGCCTTTGTGGTCGTTGGATGGTTACAAAACCGTACGAGCGAGGTGGCCGATTTGTTCGGCGGTGGCTAGTTGACGGATTAGCGGTCGGCGCCTGGCTCTTGGCTAGAGGAACGCCGTGGACTCGCTTGTTTGTATTTTCTTCGGCCTTTGTGGTCGTTGGATGGTTACAAACCGTACAGGCGAGGTGGCCGATTTGTTCGGCGGTGGTTGGTTGACGGACCAGCGTTGGGCGTTTAGCTTTTAGCTAGAGGAACGCTGTGGACTCGCTTATTGTACAAGCGACGTGGCCGTTTTGTTCGGCGGTGACATCTAGCTTTTGGCTAGAGAGACGCCGTGAATTCGCTTATTTGTATTTCCTTCAGCCTTTTTGCGGTCGTGGGATGGTTACGAATGGTGACAGCGAGGTGTCATTTGTGTTTTGTCTTTTCCTTCGGCTGATGTGGCCTTTGGATGTTTGTTATGAGTTATGATAATGGGTCATCGTTAATTGTTGAACGTTGCTAGGTCGTCTTACTTNGTATACCAGGTGACGAATACCAGCAAAAATCCTATCTTTATCCTAAAGCCGACAATAATACCGAATTCCGATCAAACCATTACTACACGTAATAATTTCATGCACATGTCGTTATTGAAGCGTGCTTGCCCTTAGATAGGGACACTCCCTATGATGGCGGCCCATAAGGGGGTAGGGAGGGGGGTCCACCCTCAAAGGGTTACCTTTTTGAAGCGTCAGGTATAATAAGGTAAAACAAACGAAATTGGCGATTCGGTGACGAATTTAAAAGTATATTCAGTACTTTTTAGTTTTGGAGCAAATGAACTTGGAGTCAATTAAATTTAAGTTTTGAGTAATTTAAGTTTAAATTTGGCGTTTGAAATGATATTTGCCTTCATAATCATATTTCGTAGAGCAACGGACAGGCAATCCAAACGTGAAGTGGTTTTCTTATACTCATTACCACTTGGTCAATTAATTAACCTTTAATTTCAGAAAAAAAAATGGTCAGGGTTGACTTACAAGCACAATTTTATTTCACTCGGTTATTCTACGGAACTGTTGGGGATTCTTTTCACTCGCTACTTGTACAAAGCTATCGACGTGAAAAAAGGTAACAGCCGTCTTAATACTGGATTTAAGCAAGCATTTGATAGCATTGACCACCAGAAACTGCTAGTGAAATTACAAAATCTCAGTGTCTCTAAATTGCCTTTGCCCTGGTCCCAAAGCTATCTGACTGACAAAAACAACGCGTCCGAATCAACAGCTTACTCTTCACTCGATCAAGCATGGAGGTCCACAGGGTTCTATCCTAGTGACCCTTCTGTTCAACCTCTTCAAGTGTTCTACATAAAAGACCTTCCATCAGTAAGAATTATACAATTAACTTTAAAATAAAGATGTTAATGGAGGACTTGACGAACTACGACTGGATTTAAGTCGCTTTTCATCCTCTTGTTGTTTGTGAAAATAAAGTTCTCATAAACCTTAAAAAGACCAATATTGTCTGTTTGGCTCTTACAAGGTGCTGGAGCAATGGAACTCAATAGTACCAGTTATCCCCAATTCGTCACGCGTAGACACATTTGAACATAGTTTGAGAAATTATCTTCTCGCAAGTTTTCTTAGTAATGAGGTACCGTAGAGTTTCGAACGGTAGCGGGCCCCGTTACTTTGGGCGTGGTGGCATTTCTAAGTTTGTGTTTTTCTTCGAAGCGAACGGCTTGGAAACTAATAGCATTTTGTTTTGAATGAGGGTATAGGCATGATTTTCAATTCAACATGCCTAGCGAGCGTAAAAATTGCATTCATTCTGAGGATTAATGAGAGAGGGGCAAATATGATGTATTTAGGCATGACAAAATTAAAGGGACCATTGGTACTTAGAAATAAAATCTCATAGGCATGGAAAAAATGGGTTCATGTCCTCGCAACCCAAAACTGACCTAGCTAAACTTACGTCCCAGATCTCTCGCCGGGCTGATGATTCATTCCCAGTTTTTGCTAGTCCGGTTTGGCATGCCAGGCATGCTGATCGTGAAGCCATTTGGGTTTGGCATGCTCGGCATGCCGGGCATGAAATTGGCATGCCCAGCATGACTGATTTTGATGTTCGCTCAGCACTATATCATGACATTCACCGCAAGCAAGAGAGAATGCAAGAGAGAATGCTCATTCTCTCTTGCCGGAAGCATATAACCCATGCTTCTGCATTCACATAATCGCCAAATATATCTCAGGGGAGCTTGAAGAAACGGGTTTCATGCCTGGCAATAAATGCAGTTTTCAACCAAAAAAAAAAGTTATGTTTGTCATAATGTATTTCACGGGATCGACTGGCAAAACTGAAGACAGATCGAAGTTCTTGACCAAGCTGGATTTATTTAAAAAGCACAACATAACAACTGTATTCACTAAAAAAAAATGGAATACTTCACTTACATTCAAAGATCAATTAATCCTTATATGCATCCTTTCGTTGTTTTAAAACTAACAGTTCATTTTTGTGTCCTCTAAAGTGGAAAGGGTAGGTCAGGCCCTTTTCCAATTTAATGACCTGCTCTTACAGTTATTGAAAATAATATAAAAAGGCCTGTGCAAAACAATCCGTGTTTTGTATCTGATAATGCTTTATGGGCTCTTCTTGACGGCCTTGATCAAGGTTAGATATAGATCGGGTGAAAAGTTGTGATTAAGAGTTGAAAAAACAATGTTCGCTTAAATAAAAGAGATCTCTTGACTGTGGAGAAAAAGCTGTTCTCGACTAGATGACAAATCTAGGCTCTTCACTGAAAATTAAAAATTCGCACTGGTTTTGAACTCTATGTTGGTACAGTGAGTGATACTTTTTGGGTACGAAATAAGTCCATCTTTTCAGGAAGGCACTCAGTAATATCAAATCCTGGGTATGGGTAATGAATTTTCTGCGCATGCTTAAATGCAGTTCTTCCGGGATCCCTTTAGATAAAACTGCTATGTCACACAATTCTTATCAATATAATCGGCATACTCGAAATGATATGATGACCTGAGATCAATTAGAAAAACAGAAAAACGTTACAAATTAGTTGTTGCGGAGGATCATAAAAATAAAAATACATGCGAAACAAATCGAAAAGATAGTCCACATTCCAGTGACGCCCAAAGACAGTTGTTGGCTAAGCATGACACTAAGGGAAAGTTCATTTAATATGACAAGGGGGGGGGGGGGGGGGGAAAATTTTAAAACTGAAGTTTGGAATTTTTGGCACCCCCCCCCCCTAGGGGTCCATTTTTTAGGGCCCCCCCCCCTGTGCTGCTAACAAATTTTCAGACCTCCCCCCCCCCCCCCCCCCCCTCCGCACGCGCCGCGTGGGGGACAGGGGGCGAGTCC